TAAATACTAATATTTATAATGTCAGCTTTTATGTAATAGAATATTGTAGAACAAATGTATACAAGTGAACAAAGACCAAAAAAAGCACACACAAATCTTTTAAAATATGTGAAAACAGGTAGTTATGAGACATAGCTGAACACATGCAGATTGACACAGCTTCACATGCCTTTGACTTGATTCTCTGCCAAATAACAATCTTCCAATCTCTCATCAACTGTTGCCTTGTTTTCCCTTCTACCTAAATATTTTCTCTGCCCCCCCTCTTTCCCCCCTTATTCCCCAATCCTCTTACAAGGTCTCTGTGGAGGACCCAGTTGGCATGAAGGTAATGGATGCCATCCAGGATCTGGTAGAGCAGAGACTTGACCATTCCTCTAGGCAGCTGAAGTGGCTTCTTGTTGGCCTTGGACGCTCTGTGGAACTTAATAATGTGCTACAGAAAGACAAGGTAACAGTAATTGTGGTGTGTGTGCACCCATGTTGACTGAAATCCATCATTTTGTGTCCTTTTCCACATTCGTATGGTCACAAATGTAAGTGTATGCTACAGGCAGGAGGAATAAGGCTGATGTTTGTGGCCTGTGTTTCCACTTACTTGGGAGGGAAATGTGAGTGTTGCAGCTTTGTGGCAGAAAATGGCATTTAAAAACTCAGTTCTGATACCCTGCCAAACGTAATGCAGCAGAGGTTTGACTACCAAATGTTGAATACTTCTTGGTGTATGTCTACGTTTTAATGAGACATCACAATGCATAATTAGCACCATTTTCAGTCTCCTTCCTTAAAACTGGCTGATGGCGTTTGTGTGTATAGATATCAGCACTACGAATAACTCTGTGTGTGTGCATGTTTGTGCTTTTGTCACGCATTTAAAAAAGGGAACTGCTCAGTTACAAAGACAGAGTGTGTTGGTCTAAAATAAATATCAACATGCATTCCCACTCAATTTCGCATATTCAGTAGATAAGACTGCTATATGTTTGTTAAGTCATGCCATGCAGCTCCAGTGTGTGTTTGCGTGTGTGCATTTTACCCAGAGATCGTGTTCGGCGTAGTCAAAGAGCAGCCATACTTTACGGTCTGCGTGTGACAGGAAAACCTTCTGCAGTGAGATGACATTGGGGTGCTTCAGCTCCCGCAGCAGCTGCAATACACAAACCCAATCAGAGCACTGAAGACACACTCTCATGGCAGAAACCATGAATAACAAATAGCCAATTTGTACTAATTAATGCATATATTAACTGTTAAAAGTGAAGAATGTATAGTGCTGATTACCATAAGGTAGACACACTATCACCTGTACAACTGAATGTAATAATATAAAAGTATGTGCAACAAATAACACTTTCTTTAAAGCATATTATGATGGTATTGATTTTTAGGAAATAGTTTTAATTAACGACATTATACATTAAAGCCTATGTGCTAATGTGTCTTCTTCGGTTATTGTTTCTAGCTCTTTAATTGTATGTCTGTTGCTTGCTTACTTAACCAAAGCAATTTTGTAAAGGTGATTCGGCCATTACATAAACCACCTTGGAGTGGAATGAGGGTGTTTAACAGAGACCAAATGAACGGACAGAGTAAGCCAAGCAGTTCTTACTGCAATCTCTCTGCAGGCTGACATGGAGATGCCAGTGCCTTCAATCTGCTTGAGGGCGTAGTCCTTATCATCCTTCCTACAAACAGAGAGAGGGAGAGCAACATCAACACCACACCAGACTGCGGGCCCCCTGAGAGCTGTCTGCACAGAAACATAAAGGGGGGCACTTGGCAGCTGGCACAGAGAGTCTGAGAAGAGGCCGAGTTGCATTACCTCCAGATTTGTGTAATCAAGCTCACCTCTGAGGCTCAAAACAATAGAAGGGGAGAGGAAACAGGCCCTGTCTGGCAGCTGGCGAGGGACAAACAGAGCACTGGGACTGGCTCTCACTTGAATGAATCGGGTGCAACCCCTCCCTCCCCCTGGCCTAAATCATCTCATAAACCCATGCTTTGTGCCTGCTCAGGCCTCATCCAACTGCTGCAGCACAAATTAGCTCACAGAGTCTCATAAACAGCAGTCTCCTAAAGTGAACACAAACATCTTTAAACACTTTAGGGTTCTTTTGTGCGGTTCCGGCTGCCAGTATGTCCGGGCTGCGATAATGCACAAGAGCTGCCTTCAGCTCTCCCCCAGCTCTTCAGTCCAGACTGTACAAGGATTGCATTAGAAACAGTAGAAAAAAAGGGAATAAATAAATAAATAAAAAGGTTTAGAAACGACCCACCCAGGTGTCCTCAACGTTTAAGGTGGTGACCATGAAGGACAATCTCTAAAGTCCAGTCGGGGGGGGTTGTTGCATCATCCCCATCTTTCCCTCCCCTTATTTCATGTCATCGCTCCCACTGTTGACTAAAAGGCAAAAAATGCCAAAAAACACTTTGGGAATGAACGAGGGTTGAGGTTACATATAAAAGAGGCCAAAAAACAGGAGAAAAAGAATATAAAAGCACCAAAAGTGTAGGCATGTTATAGATTACAGCTTTGCTTGCTTAGTGCCTCATTCCTCTACAAATGAACACTTTCATCCACTCACTTCAGGCCTTCTTGGTGTCGATCAAACCAAGCTGGTGTAGAGATATTTACCTCGAGATCACTAACTTGCACATGCACCTGCTGTATCTCACACCCGCCTACAAAGCCTCTCACATAATACCACATTAAAACAATGTACACTCTCGAGCAACAACACAGGAATAAAAAAAAAACGTGTGAACAAAGACAACAGCACAAGTGAGGGCGAGCCACAATCCCAGAGGCAAACCATAATGACAGTGCTCTTACACTCGTCACTAAGCCTCATCAGCACTCTGACAGTGCAGGTAATCTAAACACTGGCCTTATTTCTATTCATAAATCTCTTTACGACGAGCCTCCTCTGCCATTGGCACACGATTACAAGCCTTGTTAGAGGACGAGGAGATATGTGGGGGGGGAGAAGTAATTAAAATGTATTTGGGAGAGGGGAGGAGAGGGGAGGGGGCTGGCGATAGGGTTCACTGGCTTAGAGGCCTTGCTGGTCATCAACTCACCCATCTTTTCTCTTCGCCTTGTATACATGACCGTAGGTGCCTCTTCCCACTTTGCATCCTTCGTACTCAAACAGGTCCTCGACACGCTCTCTTTCGCCGGTCAGCTTCACTTTGAAATCATAGTCCATTTTCTCCTCTGTTTGGGCTTAATGCAACCCGCTCCTTCCTTCTTCTCTCTTTTTTTTTTCTCTTTAAAGCGTCGCTTGGGAGGCAACTGAGCTACACCAACGAGCTCGCTTTGGTTATTCGGCTAGTTGCCTTCCCCAGCGTGGCCCTTTCTTCCTTCAGCCCAGCTTCCACATCGAGTTCTCGGGTCGGATCGTGTGTACCGGAGGGGATGCGCGGTGCTCGGAGATAGTCCAGGTGGAAAACGAGCCCCGAATATATTTCCTTTCTCTTGTTGCTGCGTTTCTCTCTCAGCCGGTATCTGCTCCAAAGAGACGCACTTCACTCAGTAGCGACGGCGTATTGGCGCACGGCAGTGTCGTAAAACGTCGTGAAGACCAGCTCCTGCAGCAAGAGAAAGAGCAGAAAAGAAAATGGGTAGACAGGATTACACCACGTGGAAATTCATACTAGAGCTCATGTATATGTTAATTTAATCATAACAACTGTATGGGGGAAAAAAATATACATCTTTTGCTATATTGTAGCATATTTTAATACTATAATACGGGAGAATAATTTTACTTTTGTGTGCCTATTACCTCATTATGAGAAGGGATTAAAGCCAATAAGATCATATTTGTCTCCGAATAACATAATACGTATATTATTCTTAAAGGTATGATACTAATTAGAAAAGGTAAGTTTATTTGCACAGAGGCATGCACTGGAACAATATTTAAAACCCAATATAGATTAAAATATGAATTAATTTACATTGAATCAAATGGGATAAGAAGCTATAATGTAGTGATATAGCCAAATAATTAAAGTGCAGACGAGAAATTCTTTAAACAAATGTAGTTTTTAATGTAGATCTCAAAGCTGCTGGAGCACATACAATCATCAAGAGGTTACAAATGACCAGTTTAAGACATTTTACTGTAACATTACAGTGGTTGATATCCAAGGACACATTAGCACAGACTCACTTGAAGAATACCAGTAGGCTGGAGTATTATAGTGATTTTTCTTTTGGAAATATTGATAGAATGAACATATCATCAAGATGTTGGAGAAGCTGATTTGGCTGACCATAAACATAGGTGTGTGACAGGCAACAACCTTTAGAGGTGATGGTCAACAAAACAGTGTGAAGTAAGCACTCTTGAACACTAACAATAAACACCGTAAGTGTAATAGTCAGTACACATTTATATTCCCAGCATAGGCTACACTTTATTATTGTATATGGTGATGCAAGCTGACACCAAAATACACTATATGATGCACTAATGCTGCTCAGCCATAAGACATTTCATATATTATAATGTCACCTGATATTATGTGATATCATACTGGCAAGGCTGTGTTAGGATTTAGGTAAATAACTCAAATCCTTTATTTATTAAACAATAGCAATACCATAATGGAAAACAGTGCATTTAACGTAAACGCCCTGCATTCAAAATGTTGAATAAAATAATTAATAGAGTTGTAAAAATGGGTCCCTTAGTCAAAAAGAGTGTCTTATTTATATGAGACTAATAAAAATATATGTTTTAGATGCTCTACTCTTCTACATAATGTACCAGCACCATGTTTCAAACTGCATTTAGAGGTTTCAAACTACAGTTTCACAAAATGCAGTGAATTACTAGATTATTATTCTTCTGTCGACGTGCACCCCTGTCACTTCAGCGTGTTTTTTTTAGCCCATTTTAAAGCACAACAAACTTTTGAGCTTTGTTTCGCAGACGCGGCGTTACCTAGGAACTGATGTAGCCAGGGGACGTTGTTGTCGACGGACCGCGGTGTAACGTCGCACCACTGGTCCCATCTTGGTTTGAGAGAGAAGGAGAGAGAGAGAGAGAGCAAAGCGACCCGTCCATATTACCGCTGCTGTGTCAGGTAGTAAAATCCTTTTAACGTCCTTGTCATCCGTCGTAAAACACCGCTAGGGTTGTGCGTTAGGCTCCGCGCACATTGACGGCTGCGTTAAAGTGTTTGTCCCATTTAAATGTGAGGAGTTATTGAAGCTCCCGGCTGCACACAGCCAGCTAACACCAGTGTCGACGGGCTGCTGCTCGCTGGGTGCTAATGTGCTTGTGCTCGGGGTAGCGACTGAAAGCGTTGCGCATTCAAAATGACACCTCGCCTCCCCGAGTGGTCTCCGAAATTTGAGTGTTGTGTTCGGGCGACCACGCAGTTAAATCATTCCCACGTTTTACCACGTCGCTTTTTGTGTTTTTGTCCTAAAGCGGACTCAGATTCTTTGTCTTTCCTCCTCCTGCCCTGCGTTTACATGGAGGAGACCTCCGCTCGTCGTGTCCCGCCTTTGTGGAGCAGTGATTGGTCGGTTGCCCTGTCCGTCACTAAGAGCAGGCCTGTGATTGGTCGCTCACCAGGATGACAACGCCAGTTTTGTTGCTTTATTCCCCTGCCTTCAACATGGCCTTCCGTAGCTACTGTTGTAACTTGGCTAATATTAGCTCACATAAAGACTACGTTGTTGTTGTTAGGGTGTCTGTGGGGTTATTTCCATGCAGGGAATCAACTGAGAATTTACCACGTGTTTAATTTAGATTAACTTAACGGCGCTGGTCGTCGGGCTAAATGTTAGCAACGTTAGCAAGATTACTGTAGCTTTACCTAGTCTCTTGGTGCTGGAGTCTTTCGATAGAAAATGGATGGCGTTGTCTTAACTGTCGTCCTTGGCTAGAGATTAGTCACTGCAAGGCTAAGGTAATCGAACAACCCCTAACTGCGTTGGATTTTTGCTCTAGTTTCTGATACAACTTAGGAAGTGCATGATATAAAACGTTAGCTGAGCAAAACGTTTGTTCTGTTTCTTTCCAGGAGAGACTCAAATAATCAGGAGCTTGTTTTGTTCTTGAGCAGCATATTGTAATGACATGTGACATGAACATGTTGTCCTGAACAGTGGAGCTGCAGAGGCCTCTGTGTGACAGCAGCCCTTATTTATTTTTTTTAATACAAAATGTAAAACTATAATGGGTAGCTTCAAATGACACTCCACCCCTGGATGACTCTGTCACACATCTGTCAGCAGCACTTTTCACGGTGATGGACCCTCCTGGTGGGGGAGACGAACGGCGGAGGCAGGCAGAGCGTCTTCGACGGGAGGAGGCATACTATCACTTCATTAATGAACTGAGTGAAGAGGAGTACCGCCTAATGAGAGACAGCAACCTGCTTGGCACTCCTGGTGAGGAGAGAAACATCTTGCTATGTTAACACACTGATTGGGATTGCCAGTCTGGCCTTTCCTTATATAAATATGTTCTAAACACATGAAGTCTACAAATTATTATGTCACAACGTATGATACTGATAATCTGCTCTCAGTATACGAGTAGGGTAGTTCTTCTTGACCTACTGTTGCTGTCCATGTGTGTCACAGGGGAGGTGACGGCCGAGGAGCTCAGGCAGCGTCTCGATGGAGCAAAAGAGCGCATGTCATCTCAGCCCCGTACTGAGCAGCGCTTGCAGACTGCTGATTCTGGAGAACAGCAGGGAGGCAGCGGTGAGGGAGAGGAGAGAGGGGCTGGAGGGAGACGAGGAGCAGGTAGGGAAGGGGGTTGGGGTCTCTATCTGAGCTTAACAAATCTGGCTTTCACTAGTCGTGATGCCATATGGCTTGGGTTAAATCCCTATTGATTAATGAAGAAACATTTTTCATACATTATTTAGGACAATTATCAATTAATGTAATATTTTAGGCATCAGCTTTGACAAGGTTGCAATATAATTAGTTTGACTGATACGAACGTATGAAACGGACTGGGTTGAGTGTTGTAAGTGAACACTGGGAAACATCAATCTTTTTCTTGTACAAGGGAATAGATCTTTCGGAGAATACACAGCTTACATTTAGTTTACAGTCTTATTTGTTTTTGTTACAGGGGGCACAGAGCCCGGAGCAGAAACTTCTAATGGTGACTCATTACTGGAGTGGCTGAACACTTTCAGACGCACTGGTAATGCTACCCGCAGTGGGCAGAGTGGCAACCAGACATGGCGTGCTGTCAGTCGGACCAACCCTAACAGTGGAGAGTTCCGCTTTAGCCTGGAAATCAACATCAACCATGATCAGCCAGAGCCGGGGGAGCATAATGACACTGCGGACACTGCAGAGCTGCCAGTGACTGCCCCAAACACAACTTCCCCCTCTATACGCACTGTTTCTTCTTTCTCCAACCCTCGCCCTTCAACCACGCCAAGGCCAACCCCGTACCCCACCCCCCCGCCCAGCCCTCAGCAGGAGAATGCAGACACGGCGTACACGCAGCAGCACTACCACTCTTTCTATGAGCCCTCCTGCACTTCCTGCGCCAATGACCACCCCAACTGCTGCTCAAAGGAGAGGTGCCACTTTGCACTCTTTAGCACCACCTCCCACTGTTCCCAACCCACCTCTTGATCAAACTACACCTTCACAACAAGCTCTCAATGCAGAAGTAGAGCAGGGCAGTGATGATATGTCTGCTTCAATAGACTGTCCCCGTGTGTCACCCCAGTCTGTATCTCAGGCCCCAGCAGTGGGACACGAATCACGTGGCAGTAGGACTCGATCGCGTGGTCGTGCACGCAGGGCCGCATCTGGGGTTGGGGTTTCATCCCGCTTGTCAAGGCGAAGCCGTTCCCCCTTGCACAGAATACCTGTTGCAACAGCCGCTCCACCATCGAGCAGCGGTGTCAGTGGTTCTAGCATGCACACTGTTGAGCCAGGCAGTGGCACAAGCTCTGTTTCCATGGAAACAGGAGAGGCTGTGGCAGAACCTGCAGCTCTAACAGAGACAGCTGTAGAGACAGGAGAACGCGAGAGTGAATCGCATGTAATAGGATCAGGAAGTTCAGCTGTGCGACGGCATCCAACCATTATGTTGGACCTGCAGGTGAGAAGGATTCGACCAGGTGAAAACCGTGATCGGGACAGCATCGCCAGTAGAACGCGTTCTCGCGCACGTGTTGCTGAGAATACGGTCACATTTGAAAGTGACAGTGGTGGATTTAGACGCACCATCTCCCGCTCTGAGAGAGCTGGAATCCGCACCTATGTGAGCACTATACGGATTCCACTGAGGCGCATCAGTGAGACGGGCCTAGGGGAGCCCAACTCCACCGCCCTGCGCTCCATCTTGCGCCAGATTATGACCGGATTTGGGGAGCTGAGCTCCTTAATGGAGACAGAGGCTGACTCTGAAACTGTTGCACCTAGCCACACAGATCCTAGTGGTACAAATAGTACCTCCAGCCCAACCAGTCGTCTACTTACAAATGAGAGCGCAGCTGGCCAGGTTGGTACAGGTGCGGTAGATCAGGAGAGGGTGGGGCTGGTGGGAAGCGAGGAGGACCAGGGAGGACAGGCCCGGCTCGGAGGAGCGGTGGTGAGCACGACAGAGGGACGGGCCACCAGCAGAGACACCAACAACCTGGTAGAAAATGGTACTCTACCCATCCTGCGGCTGGCACACTTCTTTTTGCTCAATGATGAAGAAGATGATGAACACCCTAGGGGCCTGACCAAAGAGCAGATTGACAATCTATCCACACGTACTTATGGTCAGGCCAGCCTGGAGGGGGAGATGGGTCGTGCATGCAGTGTCTGCATCAATGAGTATGCCCAAGGCAACAAGCTGCGTCGCCTGCCCTGCTCCCATGAATTCCACATCCACTGTATCGACCGCTGGCTCTCTGAAAACAACACCTGCCCCATCTGCAGGCAGCCCATACTCACAGTGCATCATGACTGACCTATTGCTCACAAACACAACTATTGTGTTCCTGGCTGGCTGAACTGAGCAGACCCAAGTGGGCTTTGCATGTACATAGCGCTTTCATAGTTAAATTTCTTTGAAAATATCCATTGTGTTGAAGCTGAAGAAGGTTGAACCAAAAGTGCGGAAAAAAAGAAACTATATAATGCAGAGAATTAACAAAACTTTATTTTTTTAGACTCTTTGTTTTCAGCAACTTATTGTTTTATTTTCTTCTTCCTGTGAGCTGTTTGGCTGGTCTCTGTCACAAAGCTTCAGAGCCCATGTCAATGGATGGCATTAATGCTTAAGGAGCTCCTGTAGCCGCTGCTGACTAGTCTCACTTTAACTCTTTAATGTCTGATACATGTGACGTCTCTTTGTCACAACGGGACTACACAGATCACTTCTAGACTTGATTTACTCAGTATGAGCTGTAAATAACTCACCACTGCTTATATTTAAGGGTTTTGAAGCAAGATGCTCCTCACATGCCATCTGTTTAGAATGTTTTTTTTTACATTCACCATTTTAAAGCTTTGACATCCATTTTAAAAGTGTCCCTTTAAAGTTGGTTAAGAAATGTATGATTTATTGGGATGTGTATGAGCTATGTATTTAAGTTTGAAATGAGTTTTATTCTGTATGTCTAGTAATATTTGTTAAGCCCTCTCCATACATTTGTCCCATATTATTGCAATACAAAATTCATCCATGTCACCCACAAAAATCAGCCACTTTGAGATCATCGACATTAACCATATAAGCAGCACAATTCAAATGAAATACAGAAGGCATGTGATAATCAGGAATTCAAAGTTGTAATTTAGTATGAGTTGTGCAATATGGAGAGAAAAGACAGTATTGTTTGTTTTGCTGTTCATTGTTGTTTACATTGTAATGCCTGATTATCATCTCCACTTAAAAACAAAGTCTTGTTTACCCTGAAATCAATGTTTCCTGTTGCTGTTTCGAATCCATGCCCGACAGACTCCCTGGGATCTGTGTCATGAAGTTTCATTGCGTAGTTAGCCTGATACATCTTCTAAGCAAAAACCTGGAACGTGGAATTAGAAAAATAAAAATAACAGAGTTTTTACAGTTGTCCAGCTAACTCTGAAATAGGTGCTGGAAAATGTATGTTTTGAGCATCTGTTGCAGCTCAAAACTACATTTTCTGCTATTGAGAAGCTGCGAACAACACATTTCTTTCTAATCAGTTCTGTCACAGTCGCAGTCTATTTCAGTTCCAGTACCAGTGCAACACCCGAACAAGGCAATGTTAGTAATATGATATTCCTGTACGCTTTTTATGGTTTGTTTTTTACAAGTGTGCACAGATATTGGACATTTTTAGTGTAGCATAGATGGATTATTTAGCTGAACCACCTACTCAGTGTGTTGCCACCAGGGCCACTTTGTGCATCAACAACAGTACACAGGAGCTACAACATCTCTGCAGTTAAAATGTCCCTAATAAAACTGCAGGAATGATGCAGTATAATATGTCAGATTGTGTGAGAGTGGGGTAAGTGTGTACGGTTGAGTTGTGTGTGCATGTGAGTGTGTGTGTGTGTGTGTGCAAGGTCCCAGTAAACCTGGTTCTCAGAAAGCTTCTGTTAAGCTAGTGTCCACCATGGAGACTTGGAGACGGTTGTGGCCACTCAGTTAAGAAGTGAATATTTATTCTGTTCCTATTTAATAAGATGGAAATCAACTTTTGAAATATGAATATGTATTATGTTACAATGTGATGAGAGTAAATGAAACCGTTAAGATAAATATGTTACTATGTAATAAAATGAAGACATGGGTTTTCTTCTCTGCTCCTTAACAATGGAATAAAATGCAGCTTTGTTATGCCTGGAAATCTGCTGTATATGGGTATGTGTGTGTGTGTGGTGTGCGCATGTGTGAGCGACACAGATTTCAACAGCCAACCGCTATCAGCTGGTTGGTTGTAGTTCCCCAGATTATTGGAAAAATACGGGATTTGAATGAAACTACAACATTTTTCAACCAATTACGTATCGACAAGAAGTGGATAATGCTGCAGAATGAATTTTAAAAGTTTCTGTGAACGTTTTTGTAGCTTTATATCGCCGTAAAACTTCCTGTTGGGGTGAGTAGCCAAATGCTCACCATGTGTATTAACGTTATTCCTTTGATATTTTCTCATGCCCACCAAGTTTATGTTACCTTTTCTAAGAAGACATAACTCATTATTCCTCTCACAAAATCACATGTTGCATTTTCTAAATAATCAAACGCACCTTCAGTTCAACACACACAGCCCCTTGGTTTGACCATCAGCTTAAAATAGACGCTGCTGTGTAGCTGTTAGTGTGTCACTGTTAAGACTAATGACTCTTCTCTTCATTTTACACTGTGTTTTAGCGTGTAGGCATTTTGCTTTAAAGATGTAGGATAAAAGAAGATAAGTTGAAGAGAAATTCAAGTTAGACAAAGTAGCATTAGTGCAAAAAGTACAGTAAAGAATCACAAAATAAGAATATTATAAAAAACATAGTACTTTCATGACAAAATATATAAACTATATATAATATGCAGTACAATGGTGTGCAAAATATCTTGAGCAGCATATGACTAAAAACTAAACTGTACATGTGCAGTTTAAGGATACAGAGTTTGTGCAAATAGTTGAATGATTAGGAGGTGTAAAATAACATATAACATTTTCAAAACATAATACACATAGAGTAAACTGCCATATTAACTTGGGGAAATATCCAAATGTGAAATTATTGCTGCAAAATGTACAAGTGGAACCTGAGGAACACAAATCTCTATTAATTTCTTTTTAATTGTTAATGTTATTTTTTCATTTATTTTTTGTTTTTGCAGTTATTATTTTTGTGTCTATAGTTTGTAAATATTTGAGTGATATTTTGCTAATATAAAGCACACAAACACACAAACAACAGTAACACATGTGAATTAACTATATTCTGCGTCCTGTAGAAGGTGCGCGCACGCACCTTGCGCGCCCCCGTGTCACTGCCACTGTCGTAAAGCCAAACAGGAGAGGAGCAGACTGACGTTGCATCCGCCCTTCAAAATAAAGGCTCATTGATAGTTTTCTTTGAACTATTTAAATGATGCTGTTGTACTCACTCTCTTAATGCAGTCCTGCAACTAGCAGTTACTTCCATCATAAGTTAATTTGCCACTTATTTTTTTTCAATTGATCAATTATTCAAATGCCTTTTGTAGTTTCATAAAACCATGTTGGCATCTTATTTTGTTCCTATTAATAGTTGAAACTCTAGATATATTCAACTTAAAATTATAAAAAACTATGAAAAAGCAACGAACTTCACAACTAATAGGCTGAAACTAGGTAATGTTTGGCATTTTTGCGTGACAAATAACCTAAAGGATTAATTGATTATTAAAATGATCAAAAATCGTTTCAGCTCTAGTTTAATGTGACTAAGCCCACAACAGAGGTGTTTCAAATAGTACATATCAGTAGGAGTAAAAGAAAAAGCATTTAACTGATTAAAGTGCATAAATTACATGATATGTAAATTAAGATATGTGGTTATCATAAGGGGATGCTTCTTGATCATGGATGTGTGCTCTTTTTTTATTTGGCTTAACATAAAAACACAAATCTGACTGTGTCACAAAAAGGCTATTTTAACAGATTATTGTGAAAATAATATAGTGACACAGGCAATTTGGATGTACAGTAAAATGTGGCTAGTCTGATCATCATTTTTGGCTTGTATATGTTGTGTTGATATATTAAATATTAAAAAGAAGTAAACTGTGGCACCTAGGATATTTAATTATATGATTTCTGAAAGCTTGATAAATACAGCATATTTGGCTAAAAAATATAAGTTTTAATGAATGAATACTATCAACCTAATATTGCAAAGCCAAATAATAGCTGAAAGTCGCATTTTTAATTAAAAACACTGACGATTGATAACCTCCCCCCTTGACCGTCTTTAAACCTACTTTATTCTGAAAGCAGTGACCGGAAGTGGCACCCTCCTTTTCCCGTCTGACTTGACGCTGGCTGAAGCAGCTGCCCTTCACAACATTACCTCCGCGGTCCATCCGAGAAATAATGATCCCCGAGCAGCAGCAGCAGCAACGGCGGCAGCAGCAGCAGCAGCAGCCTGGGCCCGGAGTAGCACCCTCCTGCTCTGTCGGTGAGCCATGAGCATGCCACCGCTCCGGCCTCCTCGTCCCAGCCTCACCGACAGTCGTTCACCACCAGCAAGATGTATTTCAACCGGAGAGCCAAAAAGATACACAGCGAGGGAGGTAAGCTTCCAAAAAACAAACAAACATACCTTATTATTAAATCATCGCTCGATCGAGGTTCCGCCCGCCGCTTGATTCGTGACCTTTCAATGCAAAATCTCGTTAATGTCAGTGTTAATAATAGGCCTGTTTATTGGAGAGGGTATAGCGGCCTGTATATAATCGTGCGTATGTGCTTGGCATATCAACGGGGGATCGGTGTTGCCCGGGACTGCGGCATGCATGTGGGGTGACTTGCTGTGCCGGTATTTATCCTCCAGCCTCGCTCGTTTTTTTTTTTTTTTTGGTTTTTTGTTGGCACCGGTTGAGGATGCAAGGGCAAGCAGACTGCAGGTGTCTGCTTCAGGTAGCACCGCCTGCTCTTTGCATAAGCTGGTATGTTTATATAGATAAATGTAGGGATCCGTGCTGTGCTTTAACATCACGGAAAGATAACGACATGTTTATTCTTGATAGGATAAACGTGAGATCTGTGTGTGTGTGTGTGTGTGTGTGTGTGTGTGTGTGTGTGTGTGTGTGACCTTATCACTATTTAAGGAATGTACTGTATTTCCTATGGCATCATTGTGGTATTATATAATTTTGTTGCAACAGCCTCTTGTATCTAGAGCTCCTGAATCGCATCATATGGGGTATTTTCACAAGAGTTGACTGCCTAAATATGATGATTCATTGACATGCTTTTACGTACCCATTAACTAGATACTAGTGTATGTTAATTTGCATTTCAAATGTCAACCCCAAGCTCCTATAGATCAGTCCAAGAACAGCCTATTACCTCGCCGACTTAAAAAAAAACACGTGACCGTCTAAAGAGCGCTCTTTATTCTGAGCTCGTCCGGAAATGAATCTCACCTCACCTTATGTCCAGAGCCTGTATTCACATCACAGTACTTTACACACACGTGTTGGAGAGGGATGGCTCTGGCTGACACAGGCCCCGTGTCTGCTAGAGGCTGTTCATTTAAATAAATCCTCCATGACAAACTGTATATAGTGGGGGCTATTAACTCTTTCTTTTAGGAGAAAATGGCTCATATTCTCCCCAGAGAAGGAGCTGGAGAGAGAATGGGGATGTTGAAACACAAGGCTGTGTCAGATAATTTCACATATGGTAAACTGACATCGGATTGGATGGTCCTAGAAGAGAGGAGCATGTGTTTAGTTCATCCAGTGGCTTTTAATAGTGACTGGCACATATTGTCAGGCTGCTTTGCTGTTTTGTGTGTGTGCATGTGTGTGCGTGTGCGTGTGTGCGTGTGTGTGTGTGTGTGTGTGTTGCTGCATGCCTCATGCAGCTTCCAGAAATAGAAAGCAGGGCAAAATGTGAGCAGAGATGAGCGCCAACTGGGCCACGCTGTCTTCAGGCTAGAGTTTCCCAGATTTATTTGTTGTTAAAAAAAACAAACACCACAGGGTCTTTTCACACTGGGGCAGCACATTTTTCCCAGAAGAAAAGTCACAGGTTTCACAGGCAGAAGCATATGTGTAGTCTTTAAAAAGTCCACAACACTTGTTTAAGTAGAATATCAAATGGCTTCACAAGTCACGCTTATGTTGTCAGTTGTTTGTTTGTCATGTATATTATGCGATATTGATCTGGCCATGTGGCAGAGCTTTACTTGTGAGATTCACTAGTTTTCTTCTTGTTTGTATCAGAGCAATTGATGTGGGGCTTTCAGTAACTTCACCGGAGTCTTTTGCTTTAATGGGGTCTAAACGTTATATAAGACTGTTTACCACCGCCATATTTAAAGCAGTCTCCATGCTACCTTTACTGTAATCTCTTGGAGCTTGACCTCTTGAATCTTTGTTCCAATTAGTGAACTGCACATCCCTGGTAATGACATCTGCCACTACCAATCAGTCACATTCACCCACACTCTCAAATACATTCTCACAAAGCAACAATTTGTTTAAGAAGACCATAAACAGGGGTGTTTTAATAGCACCTTTTACACTTGGGTACTCACAAACACACATGAACCATTTCTCACATTGGTTGAGAAAGCGTTTTAGTTTTAATTATGTTAAAATATAAAGCTAAACAAATTGTAAGATTGTCCTGGACATCACAAAGGATCTGTATTTAGATGTAAGAGCACATGTAGCCCTGGTGTTGATGTGTCTAGTTAATGCAAGTCATGCAGCTCAGCCAACTGTCAACAATACATCTGTTTTGGGAAGATAATGACTGGTCGTCATGGCTGCCAAGCTTCTGAAGATGCCATTTGGGAGATACAGAGAGGCCTGATAAATTGCAGCATGGAGGTATTTACACAAGTTGGACACAGGGGGGCACTCCTGGGCAAGCTACAAAGTCCATATCTGTGTGCAACTCTTCAGGTCTTTCTCATCCAGGCACCAATCTCATCTCACTATTAATGCTTCCGGTGACAGACGAATACAAACACATGTGCAGTTCAGTTATTGGCACATGGATGTGTTGTGTGCGGTATGTGTATATTGACTTGTTGTCTTGTGTGTGTGTGTGTGTCGTTTTCTCCTGTCGCGGCCTCTCTGGCGCCCACAGAGCAGTTAGTGTTGACCACCCTTAGGCAGGAGGCTTCTGAACTGCAGGACCCAAGCCAAGGCACCGGGGCTACCATGCGTGCCTGCCTCACAGACAGGTTTGACAAAAGTGAGTTTGCTCGAAATTAGACTGGATGACGCCCCATATGTGTCTGGAGTCCCAAGGTGCATGCGGCCATGCGCAACGGCTAGCAGCAGGTGTCTCCCAACCCCCGGCCCTCAAGAGCTACAATAGTTACTTACTAGAGTGTCTCTTGGTTCTTGTCTGCAAAGGTTAAAGACATTATATTCCTCCTGTGGACCCTGAATAATCTGTAGCTCCTTGGGGCCTGGAGTGATGAATGCTGAACAGGAATCAACCCTCACTGCATGTGCTTGTAGATAGTGGTGTGACCACACATGTCAGACTGCTGATGAAGACAGCTTAATATGCAACAGGGTTTTTAAGCAAAACTTTCAATGTGAATTCATATGCATGCTGTAGAACACAACACATGCATGCATGGCCAAATAGAGCATGTACATGTCATGAACATTGCTGCATGCATATATGACACATAAGTGACTGTGAGCTGGATTTAGAAAGGGGGCAGGGGAGTAGCTGCATGTTGGGGCTTTGCATGTTCTCTGGCATCAATAGATGTATGCTCACCTGTGTGTGTGTGTGTGATGTGTGTGTGTGTGTGTGTGTGTGAGAGAGAGGGAGAGGGAGAGAGAGAGAGTGTGTCCATAATACAATGTCAATGTGTGTCTGTGTGTGTGTTTGTGTGCGCATACATCAGTGTAACATGTTTGTGTGCGTGTTGTAGTCTCACCTGTAGGATTATCAGGTTATGGATTAGCAGCAGGTGAAGTTGCAGAGCAGACACTGGGGGGATTAGCATGCTCGCTCACTCGGCCCGTAAGAGGCTTTCTTGCCTTACTCCCTTCTCCGTTACAGTGGAAAATGGACCCACTGGGAACGTTTGAGGATAGGTCAACCAGGACCGGCAAATAGGGCCTGCAGGTCACCTAGGAGACCAGGGCAGCCATGGGACGTAGGGGTCGTCCAAGCAGAAGACGCTCTGTTGGTAATGCTTTTCTGACCACACAGTGTGATTGGGGACTGGACTCAGGCATATGGGGGAAGATGTTTTATGTTTTATTTAATTTAATTGAAGTTATTGAAATAAGTGAGGTGGTTTAGTTCAGTGTTTAGCTCAAGAACACCTGTGTAAGTTAGAGGATTAAAACCAGAGACCTTGCTGTCACGGGGGAATGATCCAAAAACTTTGCTTCCATGTTTGCAAGAGAGGCGACCAAAACATGCTGGGATGAAATATGCACAGTATATGCAATATACTCTGATTTGCCATGCACTGTTTTGACAGTTATTAGGATAATAATAATGTGGTAACAGCCAGATTATTGGTCCTCGGTGTGGCTTGTGGGGGTGGGAGTGCTTCGGCAGCTGGGGATAATTGTAGCTACTCTACTATAACTGCTGGTATGATAAGTAGCTATTTCCTTTCTGGCACATCTTTGTGCTGGGTGTTTGGAAGATGGTGCATCTCTAATAGACATGTTTTAATTAAATGTGTAAGCATCTCAAAAGCTATGTTTGTGCCATTTTAAACACAATTCTGGCAATCGCACTAATTGACTGAGGGAGACGCTGTGTGACATGTGAGTCGTTCCTTGAGTGAAGGCTGGGGCACAGCACCATGGCAGAGTGTCTGGTGAAATATGCTCTGGACATACTGGGAAATGTAGATGAATTATGCAGCCTGCCGCTTTCAATTATTTAGTAGCCTAGTCTGCTTTTTAACAGTTAAAGTTTGGCCCGAAGCCACGGCAGTTTGGCTCAGCCCAAAACAAAAAGTCAGTATTCCTTTTTAAGATATTATGAAGCTTCTCATCTTCTTCAAATGACATGTATGCTGGATTTCACTGCATTTTCAGACTGCATTACTCTTGTTCTGCTTACTGGAACAGGTAATTTTATCTACCCACTGTGTTAGATGTGTTTGGCTTAATAGGCTTCTAATGACACGTGTATTCATGGTAGAGAGACGGAAAGGGCTTTTAAAATTCTCTACATAATGGATGGAAGTTTGATTATTGATGCATAGGATTGTTCTTAAGAAAAAGGACAAGTTCTGTTTGAGCTTCACCAACCAGATGGGTAGCTGGTAGTATCTTGCCAGCAGGGTATGAGATCAGAGTGTTTGTTGAGGGTGGATCAGTCTAGTCTTACCTGTTCTGGTCGCAGGTTATCAGACCTATGGTACCTGTCCGGCTAGCCTGGGTGCTTCGTCTGTAATTGACCTGGCTGTGCTCTGCTGGGGTTTGCTGCTGACTCATCGAAGGCATGTCAGTAATGAGTTACGGAGGTGACTGTGCCTCTACTCCATCAGAGATGAGTAACTGAGGCATTGATCTCCTCAGAAATGAATCAGAGCTGAAGTGGGCTGCTGAGAAAGCCATTATTGATCTGCTTGGAAAGGTTGAGTCTAGAGGGGTTAAAAAGTGGATTTCTGTTACAAGGTATAGAAAAAGTAGATAATTCAAGAGCAAGAGCGAAAGCTATAAAAATGAAAGGAGAAACAGAAAGTAAAAGATGACATTACAGGTAACAAAGTTCATTGCCCTACACTACCTTTTTAACCTTGTACCACCGTTACTCATTTCCTTACCATCACTTGTTCTCCTGATTGACCTCAGTGCCGTTTGTGGTGTGGATTGCTGAGCTGTGATTGTTACTTATAGCTCTGTTAGGTCCGGAGGTAATAGCCTGGTCAGGAGATATAGAGATGAGAGATAGGCTGCTTCTTATCATTTTGCTTGGATAGACTTTGACCCTTGCTCTCTACCTTGTGTGGACATTGTGGGCTGCTGTGAAATAGCACTTTACAAAGGTTGGATTTTTTAAACAGTTTTAAATGTCTTAAAAATCTCAAGTAGGTCAATAAATTTAAAAGGTTTATCTCTAATAAATGTGAGAAAAACAAAGACATAACACAAAATAACCCAGCTGCACTCAAATCAGTCAGTCAAGATCTACTGGTTTGTTTTCAGTAGTGTATAACCTGAAAATAAGAATCGTTGTGTTTCCATTACTTTAGAATGAGCTGTTTTTATCTATAGAGGGAGCGAGCCCTCTTCTACGGAGTCCGCCATGTCGAACCTGCCCCCAGAACGGACAAACAAAATTTTCGAAGTTTCTCCTACATGCTTGGAAGGCGAGCGGTACATCCTACACACCGGTCCTTTTCATGTCTCTTTCAATATAAAAGTGGAAGTCTGATGCATCTGTAGTGGTGATAGCACATCCAGTAAATAAGCCCGACTGGTTTATGTCTGGGTCAATTTACAATTCCTCGCCTACTTTAGAACAATAAGCTTGAGTGGAATATAATGATATTAACCGAATTGTCGTTATTGATGAGGGGAAAGAATTACCCGCCTATTGTAGGATTGTAGTGCTGCAGTTTCAGGACTGTGGAAATTCAATCTGCTAAACCCTGGCAGTGCTTATTCTTTTCTAAATTATTTATGCAATTAGCCTGTTGTTGTTTTCACTCACAGACTCGCACACAGACAGACATGCACAATGCACAGATCCCAAGAAATTATACAAGTATCCGAAGAGGAATTCCTCCAATAATACATTTTAGGAGATGTGTAGTGATGCATTTTAACTAACTCAATTAAGAATAGGCACGTTTTAAGGACTAGTGGACATATAAATGCAGCTTAGGCTTACCAGATAAATGCCTTCTAGATAACATTATATTTTTTCACTACACATGACATATGAACTATCTGCATTTATGCAAACTAACAATCAAGATGTGAAGACCAGAAACCTGTAAGTGAACACTGCTGTTGCTCAGGCATCACAGTGGAGGGGAAGCCACATGAAGTGATCTCCTGATGGATGGCTCCGGCCTCAAGAATGTCATTTGACCCATCTGTGCCTGACCACAAGACTTAAGGCGATATCAGGCTTCTGGCCCTTTAAAAGTGGAGCCCCGGCTTTGCCCCTCAGCGGCACTGAAGGAGCTCCATATGGCTTCCTCTTGTTGTCTGGACTTGCAGCAGTGAGCCACTCAGCATCAAATTGGAGGGAGGAGATCGTCCAAATCGCGCCCGATAAAAGCTTCCCGAGGCGGCAGGTGGCCAGATGACACGGCAGTGGAGATTGGCGGGCCAGTATCTTTCACCAGGGCCGGGAGCTTCCTCTTCAGCGAGGCCGAAGGAGGAGGGAGGACGCACGGGCGCGCTGCTGCATCTGTCCTTGCCCAGGTTCGGCGTTATTGTACCAGCTGAGTAAACTGTGGCGTCCAGTCCTGTATGCGTTGCTCTCACTCCCGCACAGTGTCTCTGCAGAACTGCACATATTATCCGGTTGTTGGAGGCACTCGGGGATGAAAAACGTCCCTGCTCCCGGAGCTTGTGCGGGGGTGAATGAGCGGAGATCACGACGCTTTAAAATGGTTGGAGATGACAAAGCGAGGCGGGCGGGGAAGCTGGAAGTCTGCAGAAGAAGCGTGTTGCATCCTCTGATCTCACTTTAAAAAACAAAACAAAAAAGATAATTAAAATAAAAGATAAGCTACAGGCAGCTTAATGCGCCGGGTCTTCTCTGTATAACATATGGACAAGTTGACGTGCTAAATAACAGACAAACCCGGTGTGTTTGTTCGCCATTGTGCATCCCTCAGCACATCCATTATACGCCGGGGGGGTCCCGTGGGCGTCGCGAAACGCGCGTGTGTGCATTGGCGGTACCTGCACAATAATACGGAAAGACAAGGGGGGCTGTTTGTAACGGAAAACGTCATTGAATCGTTCCTAGCAGCTTCAGCGTACATCAGCATACAGTAGCCTCTAGTACTCATCAGTCGCCTTCGCTTTTGAACTGTAAACCACGTCTCCCGTCTATGTCTCTGTCCCTCTCTCTCTTTCTCTCTCCCTCCCTCTCTCTCTCTCTCTCCCTCTCACTCCCTCTCTGTCTCTATCTCTATCTCTGTCTCACTGTCTCTCACTCGCATTCACTCAGCCTCGCCTCTCTCCCATCAATCCAACGGTGCAGGACCCGCTTGCTCGTCCGCCGGTTACCGCAAGGCAGATGATGAGATGTCCGGGACCACTTCCCAGGCGGATCCCATAGACGCCACGGCGCGGACGGTGCTGCTCAACCGGCCTCAGAATACCAAGTTCTGCGACAACCATGTCAGGTAGGTGTCCCTTCTGCTCTTTTACCGACTGCACGATTTACTTTGATGCATATTGTGTGGCTTGTATGCACTGATTTTTATTTTCGTTGGGTGTTCACACTCGCTCTGTATGAATAGTAAGTCTAATAGATGAATGGCCAGTAGGGAGAGAGTTATGCAGATTAATTTGTTTCCAAGAAGTTTTAATCCCAGCAAAATATGTATCAACAGATTTGTGAAACCTCTGCTCATATATATATATATATATATATATATATATATATATATATATATATATATTTGTTTTTGTTTGTTTGTTTACTTTTAATCAGAAGGTTATATGCTGGGGAGGTCGGCTTTCTGTAGGGATTCTGTGTCTTGCTAAAAGAATGAGCATATCTGCTCAGAGAGGTTTTACACCCATGTTGTTGGGTTAAAAGGACTTTACAGCCTGTTTGTATGTTTTGCTTCCCCATGTGCTACAAGTAGACTTTGGACTACTGAGATTCCTCTCTTATAACTATTTCCCTTTATTTTAGTTTAGCCCTAAATCGCAGCAAAAAAAATGAACTGAAAATGAAACCGCGTTTTTAAGCTCTACAATTACTATAATTATATAGGTGAAACTATTGATAATGGTATTTAATAACTCACCTATTAGGTGATTATTTGCAACTGCAGCGGCTGCAAGGGGGCGAGGCTGTCACTGCCTGAAGTCCACCTTGAGACTCTCAGTAGAGAATTGCCGGCTTAACAACTTAACATTGCATTGCCTAATCTATGCGTCTATCTATACGAATATTTAAGGCTGCCAATAAACGTAAAGTAACTACACATACATTTGTTTTCATAAATTACGGAAAGCTGTGTCTATCTGGTCAAAGGTATAGTTTGTGTTTGTGTTGTTTGAGAAGTTTTGAGGGGTCATTGTAGAATGAAGGACCTGGATTTCACTGAGAATAAAATCCGTCTGATTTGATTTCTCAGACCTTGAAATTGGAAGTATGATTTTCATAGTCATGACTGTCTGTGGTCTGAGCACCTGAGGCAAGCAGTAGACTACAAATCTTGGACCACACTTCATAAGAGTATCATTATTTCACATATTGTGCTGGTGTGCCTCGGTGGCCCCCTGTGTTTCAGCAGTGAACATCTGAATGAATTTCCTGCTTGCATGTAGTTCTCTGTCATAGCCAGGGTCATTGGCACGGCCAAACGGCATGTGCTCTAGTACAGAAGTCTCTTTTATCAACATCATCTCAGCTGTCATCTGCATATTTTATGGGCTCAGTTGTTGTCATAAATACTAAGTCGCAGTCAGGCAAACAGTATTAGAGTTTCATTCAGACAGACGCCAACTTAATTTGTCCCTTGTCTTTACCTTTTTATTATTCCTGTTTGTATGTACAAACTGTGCCTGGCGCCATAGGGAGAGCTAGGCTCATGTTTTCATCAGTTGAAGGCTTGTCGTTAGTCAGTGGCATTCATTATTGCCAGGAGATTCAATTTCACATTTAAAAGAGCCTATTTCAGCTCTACAAATAAGATTAAGGCGGGTGCTGCCTGGCTCATCTGATTGGATCACGTGTGGTGTTCTGCCCCCGCTGCATGCTGATTGGAGAGTCAAGAGCACTCTGGCTCAAGAGGCATGCCCTTTGATGTCCCTGTGTTCCTGTAACTCTTTAGTTTATGTTTTAAAGGTTCAATAGCCTTATTGATTTTTCAGAGATTAAAGCCTTGTAGCTTTTATCTGTACACTCAACTCACCTCCTCTCCATTCCCTAGGTCCTACGCTTCCATATTTCATTGTATACAGTTGTTTTTATACAACCTGGACATTAGGGCTGCTCTCCTGCGCACAAATGCAGCAGAGTAACATGCTTGGTTATTCTTGAACATGATCATTTCTTTACAGACACTTGCATTTTTCAACTTAATGTCTACCCTACTCCTCTTTGACTCCAGTCCAGTGTTTTCTTTGAGCCTATAATGTATGAAGAACATTGACCTTTTTTTATAAAAAAACAGGAAAAAGCCACACATCTGCAGGAGAGCACCACCCCTGCAGCTCACAGCTGTTAACACCACCAGCAAGTTAGACTTCCATAGTATGAAAAATAACACTGCCAGATGTTTTTTCTTTTTTCTTTTTGCCTGGTCAAGTGTGTGTGGTGTGTGTGTGTGTGTGTGTGTGTGTGTGTGTGTGTGTGTGTGTGTGTGTGTGTGTGTGTGTGTGTGTGTGTGTGTGTGTGTGTGTGTGTGTGTGTGTGTGTGTGTGTGTGTGTGTGTGTGTGTGTGTGTGTGTGTGTGTGTGTGTGTGAGATTCATCTGTGTCCTGGTATCACTTGTCTTTGATTAGATTAAGGCAGCTTTATCTGCTGGATCATAGGTGTAGTATCACTAACGCAGAGGTATCCAGAGCTTAAGGGTCAGGACACTGTGTGTCTGTGTGTGAGTGACCGACTAACAGCTGTTGCTACTCTGTTTTGTGTGTAATGTCTTGCTCTTTGTAGTGTCTGTGTGAGTGAGGCAAACGGAAAAAGCGGTTTTGGGTTCATCTCCAAGAAGATTTTGAACTGGGATTGAGGCGTGTGTTTTGCCATTCAGTGCACACACTTGATGCACTCACGTACACAAACACACACTATCCATTAAACAAATGCTTTTGCAGGAGCTCTCACTTTTCACTCAGGCCACACAGGAAAAAAACAAGGCAGGCCTTGGTTGATTTTTATTTTTATTTTTAGCCTCTCTAAAAGCTCTTACGGTAGCCCCTTGCTATAGCAAGGCTAATCAATACAGTTGTCTGATCAATACAGTTGATTGAGAGACAGGTTGTGGTTGCCAAGGTTTCTTGCACCTATTTTCTGGGGTTCTGGATTTAAATTTAGTCTAAATTTGGTCCATTTATAGGTGTGATGTGTGTGCAGCCTGTAATGACTCTGTCTGCCCTCTCTGAGCACAAACCCACATACAGTCTTTTATTATTCAGCATTTAACATAATGCTGTTTTGAGTGTGTCAGGTTAGAAAATCATTAGCATACAATGTATGCATGTTTGTTTTCCTACTTTTTGCTAATGCACTTCCTGCCTCTGCCTCCACCCGTTTGCATGTAAACAAAATAAAGTGTCCTCTCTCCTTGTCTTCTTCTGCAGTACCACCAAGTATGGGGTGCTCACCTTTCTGCCCCGATTTCTGTATGAGCAGATCAGGCGGGCTGCCAACGCCTTCTTCCTGTTCATCGCACTCATGCAGGTAAACCCCACGCACCAAGCACTAACAACAGCAGTCAGCACTGTTTGTTTGTTTTCAGTTTGATTCTGTGGCCCACACAAGCTTTTAGATAATAGATCCTGAAAAGTCAGTTTTAAAACATACCAGGATTCCTACAGGCCAAGATATTTTTGAAATACTGAGTTATAGATTAGTGAGAGTGGTTTTCTCGATGGTGAAAGTTAAGATCTGTAAATATCCTCAGAAAGCCAGAAGGAACAGTATACAAGATAAATATGAGAAATTAATATTTTACAAATGGCTCACATCACAGGCTTGTGCCAGAATGAATATGCCAATACATGTTTATTAGATATTACTAATTTAAACATTTGCACAATTAAATATAGAGTATTGATTTTATTCATCATTATAGCAGCTTTTAGACCGTTTCTAAACTAAAAACATTTAAAATGAAGGAGGAATTTGATCATAGAAGATAATCACTAATCCCATGCCATAGTCACAATCTGTCACAATATTTTCTTTCCCATGGATGGTGGGAAAAGAGGGGCACTTGGGTTTTATTTTTCGTGTGTGTGAGGCTCATGAAAAGTCCAAATGCCTTCCATCATGCGCACTCATCAAGGATTCATTATACAGTACACTGCACACATTATACATTGTGTAATTTGTCTCAACAGAATAGCTCTCTCTGCTACCTGTTTCAGTGTGCAAACTGAACCGATTATTTTGAATAGCTAACAACTAATGTTTGTGCTATCACTGTGATGGTCCATTATGGGTGCCTTAAGCTACTGAACACTCACTATCAGTAATGATTTCTGAGTGCTGCTTCTCTTCATTCTCATCAGCAAATCCCTGATGTATCACCGACTGGTCGCTACACCACACTGGTCCCGCTCATCTTCATCCTCACCGTGGCCGGGATCAAAGAGATCATAGAGGACTATGTGAGTACCAGAGCACCACCTGCTCTATGGGCAGGAGTTACTACCTTTTTAACCCTTTAAGTGAAGGAGAGAGGGACATCATATAGTTATTTTAAAAGCTAATGCATCTTTATCTGTGTCCTTACAGAAAAGACATAAAGCAGACAACACAGTTAACAAGAAGAAGACAACAGGTATCATCTGTGTGTGTGTGTGTGTGTGTGTGTGTGTGTGTGTGTGTGTGTGTGTGTGGCTTGTTAATGTGCGTCAACTGTCTGTGCGCTTTTCCATGAGTGTGCTTGTGTCTATTTGTGTGGGTTTTGTTTTCCTTTCATGGCTGAGTGAATAGCTGTTGTCTGTCACTCACTATAGTGCGGACCCCAGACAAAAGTTTAGTCGCTTTGAATACTGTATGAGCGCTGCTCTATAGGCTGACTGATTGCTGTGTTGTCCTTGTCTCTCAGTGCTGCGTAACGGATCCTGGCAGACGATCATCTGGAAACAGGTATCACTATCATTAGAGACCTCATCTTTGTTGCTCTCTCGCTCATCACTCTTGTGCTTTTGTCTTTCTATCTCGGTCAGTTTTTACAATTCAGTTTAACATACTTTAACGTAAAATACACCAAGCATCTAGGAAAAGCAAGCTAAAAAGACACATTTCTTCTAAATACAGAGAAAACTTAGTAAGTAAATTAGCGAGCAACTAAATCTGTTAAAATAATGATAAAATGACATGACACTATAGGATTATTAAATTGTTATTTTTCCCGTTTTATTTTCCATGATTTTATTGTGTTCTTCTTGTGGCTAGTCTGTAGTCACTCAGTCTGTGTTTGGTCAGGATCTGTCTGCTTTGGATCCCTGACAGTAAAAAGATACTCGTCCAATTAGTATTGATGTTTTAGGGCCAGATAACAATTGAGTTTATTTGTTGTTTTTGGACTTGATTTGTCCAATATTCCACATAGGCACTGATGAATATAGGTTTTCTTTGTTGGTCTGTAGTTGATCTGAACTTTTATGATCTGCTTCTTCCATTGTAAACTCAAATTGTTACCTGAGTGAAATGAACTCTTGGTCATCGTAGTACAATGCATGTTCACTGTATGCTCTTGCACAACAAATGCCATTTACTTGAGATTTGGTCTTCTTCTTCAGGGTGCTCTCATTAACTGAAGTCCAGCTGTGTACATTCTTGTTCCACCAGGTCAAATCAGATCAAAATTGTCCTGTTATGTGGCCGACAAAAGTGTAGAGCAGGAATTTAGCTCCCTTGTTATTCAGGGTCATAACAGGTGAATGGATTTGTTCAGACCTGCTTTGCTAACAGAGTAATGGTTGTTAAAGTGAGGTTGAGATAAGTAGTTGGCTCCAACTAAATGTGCCCTTGTACTTCCTTTGCAAGGAGAGTCCTGTAAGTAAGAGGTGCGTTTATGCATCAGTAATGTAGCAGTAAACATTTCCCAGATCCCAGCTCATGATTTATGCTGGACTCATGATTATCTCTGCTCTTGGGTGCTGGGAAAACAAGTCCATCACTCCAGTTCTCAGAAGGACAAGCAACCTGAAGACCTAGATTGAATGGTTTACCGTACCTGATGTGGCACACTGGTTGTGTTTAAACTTGTCCGTCTGTCCTGAAGATGTTAACGCAAAAAAACTTTCCCAAACTTTCCCAGACTTAAATTTTCTGATTTTATCAAATATAGTAGTTCTTTCTTTGTAATGGGGAAAGTTCTTAAATAAGAGTCTTAAAAAACATTTTAAGGCTCATATTGTTTGACTGGCTGTGGCTCCAGCATTGTACCATGTCACCTTGAACAAAGTGAAATTCCTCAAGTTCTCCTTTTCACTCATTCTCTCCCTAATCTACATGCTTGGGAACTTTGTCTCCTATTCTAGTCTGCCTCCGTTTCAGCTCAGACAAAACAGCTCTGCACTGCTGTGCTCACTGACACTTTATCTTAAGTCTTCTTCTCACTCTATTGGCTGTCTCTTGATTAGTCACTAATTAACCTGCCTCTTGTTCCCTCTCTCTGTCTTCCTCCCTTACCCCTTCTATTACCCCTTACCCTTTGCCTTAACACCCCTCTTTTTCTCTCGCATGCTGTTGCACTGCTGCGTCCTGGCCACAAGGTGGCAGTAGGAGACATAGTGAAGGTGACCAATGGCCAACACCTTCCAGCTGACATGGTTATTGTGTCCTCCAGGTCAGACAGTGTGTATGAGTGTGTGTGTTTGTGTGGACAAATTTGTGTATGTGTCTGTTGATATATATGTTGTCTAATCATTTGTTGCATGTTGAACTACTTTTTAGGGATGATTATTTTCATTATCAATCAATGCATTGCCTAGTCTTTTGATTAATCGATTAATTGTGTAGTATATAAAATGTAGCAATGAATTCTTACCTTATATAAAAGGAACATAAAGTATTGTCTTAAAATTGCACAAAAAACCCCCAGTCATAATCATAAGTAATTATTAAAGAGCGAATACTTTAATCGATTATACAATGATCAAAATGATGTTCAAATCATTTGTTGATTGATGATTAATAATTTTAAGCATTACAATATTTTGATGCAACTCTGCCTCTTCTCCACAGCGAGCCGCAGGCCATGTGTTACACTGAGACCTCCAACCTGGATGGAGAAACCAACCTGAAGATCAGACAGGTACGACACAGGAGCAAATCTCTGTTAGTCAGATTTCTCAATAGATGCATGGATTCTGCAAATGGTCATTGATGTAATTGGCAGGAAGTATTGTATAAACACTATAATGCCTTAAATAAAACCATATTTAGATTTAGTATGTGTATAGTTCATAACTGTGGTGGGTCACCCATTTTAAGGGACTGCTAGCTCACTTGAAAGGAGGTCAGTGATTGAGGTTTTAATAGAGTTTGTTGTTTTAGAAACATCTAATACTTTTGCTTACTGTTTGGATGCAAATGAACAAATTAATAAAAGATGTTGGGAAAATGTGGGCATTGACTTTCAGGACTCTGTGTCAAATGAAACCTAACTTCCTCACAATCCTCACATTTGCATCCATGTGGCATCATGTTACTTGTGGTTCTTGTTCCCTTTTCATCTCCTGTTTTTATTAGTGTTTTATGAACAGTGTTTTTCTATAGTGTACTTTGTCATAATCTTGTTTGGTAAAAGTTCTCCTTCAATAAACCTTCCTTTACTTGACTTGATTAATTTCCTTCCAGGGTCTCCCACTCACAGCTGGTGCTCAGACCCTGGAGGATTTGATGGCTCTGTCTGGTCGTTTGGAGTGCGAAGGCCCCAACAGACACTTATATGACTTCACTGGCACACTGCGGCTGGAGAACCAGAAGTGAGACACACAAATATTTTTTTTTATTAGTGCATTGTCAGTGTTATATGCTAAATATTGTTTTGTTTTCCTACTTGTAAGTCAATATTATCTAAATAGTATCTTTGTATAAAACTGGCCAAGACAGTAGGATAAAACTACTTTTATCTACTACTTGTATATCATAGATTTTACAGTTCTATATCTCATCCAGCACAGAAGATTTAAAGGAAAGTGCGGCCTGTCATAGCGAAAGCATTTGTATTCATCATTAATTAAGATTTATAATAAGGGTTTATAATAAAAATCTGAGATGACAAATAGATAGGCAATGCACGTCGCCCTTAATCTGCATCTTTTGTTGCTTATCACCTCTCTCGTGCTCCTCAGTCCAGCGCCTCTGGGTCCAGACCAGGTGTTGCTGCGCGGCGCCCAGCTCCGAAACACACAGTGGGTTGCAGGAATTGTTGTCTACACTGGCCATGACTCCAAACTGATGCAGGTAAACCCCAGTGTCGTGTCTGAATTCAGTAAACTGTGTGTAATGCTTTAAAAAGTATTCAAAACACCTAAAGAATTTTGGAGTCAAATGTTTTTTTTTTTAATAATTAGAATCTCCTTTCCTTGTGAACTTCAAAAGAATAGTTTAGGGATTTTAATTAACTGTGTGACATTCATAACTGGGAGCACATCCAAGCCAAGAGGTACTTTTAATCCTTCCCGGTGTTTGGATTGCTTACACATTCTTCTGCCAAAAATGCTAAAAACATTTTAATGTTTTTCTGTGTTTTGCTGCTCTGAGTTTCATGTTTGCTGTGTATGACAAATTAAATTAGTGAGGCAAATGTGTTTGAAGGATGCTGCAAGTGGACCTTTTCTCCCCAGAGAAAACCATTATAACTCAACGAAACTGCACTCTCATCCAGCACTATCTTAAAGTGTTTGTACTGTTTTAAATACTGTTGTATTTATTGGCCTGTCCCCCTCCCAGAACTCCACCAAGGCACCGCTAAAGCGTTCTAACGTGGAGCGAGTGACCAACATGCAGATCCTGGTCTTGTTTGGCATCCTGCTGGTCATGGCCTTGGTCAGCTCTGTGGGCGCTGCCATCTGGAACAGGGAACACACAGAAGATGCCTGCTGGTACCTGTCCCGGGCTGGTGAGAATAAACACACACATACCCCATTTCATAACCTGTGAATTTAAGGGTGAGTAGATAAGTGAATATTCTGTGTTTGTGCAGGTGATATCTCCACTAACTTTGCATATAACCTGCTGACTTTCATCATCCTGTACAACAACCTGATCCCCATCAGCCTGCTGGTCACACTGGAGGTGGTCAAGTTCACACAGGCCCTCTTCATTAACTGGGTATGTGTGTTTTGTAATGCATGTTTTCAAATGTGCTTATTCAAATGTTCCTGTTGAGTTTATTTGTGTATTCGTTTTCCCTCAGGATGTGGAGATGTACTACTCAGAGACAGACACACCGGCCATGGCTCGAACGTCCAATCTTAATGAGGAACTAGGCCAGGTCAGTTCCTCCCCCTTATCATAATCAGTGGCAATAGAGTGGAAGAAGGAATGCCCCAGATTAGCATTACATACACAAACACACACACACACACACACACACAACACACAATAGATGCTTGTTAAAACATGCTGTGTTTCCTTTCATTACTTATTGTTTGTCTTTTCCAGGTGAAGTATCTCTTTTCCGACAAGACAGGAACTCTGACCTGTAACGTCATGCACTTTAAGAAGTGTACCATTGCGGGAATTACATATGGGTCAGTCCTCTCTCTTTTTTTTCTTTTTTTTTGTAGATTCATTCTTTCCTTTTAGCTCTATCTGTAAATGGAGCCACCTACTAAAAGAAAATGAGCTCAGAAGCCACTAATTCACTTTTGCATTAATCTCCTTAACTAATTTGTAGTAAAGCTTAGCTTAACTGTTATTAATTCATTTGATTAAACTCTTGCATGCTTGATCAAATGAACTAATCAACTCATCAACTTATTGATTCCTTTTGCAATACAACCTCATTCATCACTGCAGCCACTTCCCTGATCTTGACGTTGATCGTTCAATGGAGGACTTCAGGTTGGTGACCTTCTCTGACCTTCTCAACCCTCTTACCCTTTCTAATATTCTTATATTCATTTTAGCCTCTGCATGCTTTGAGCAATGACTGTACTGTGTATGCTTTGATCTGAACAAGAATTGACACAACCTCTTTAGTGCTATTTGAATGGCAAAAATATTTTTTTTCTACAATAACGACTGCTTTTTCTTGTCTAACAGCAATCTGCCATCCAGCACCAATAACTCTACAGAGTTTGATGATCCAACTCTCATCCAAAACATTGAGAAGAACCACGTAGGTGTCTCTAAAGTTTTTTATCATATTTCTTCATTTGAAGCAAACCTATTCTGCCTAAAAATAACCAAAGGATGTTGTTAAAAAACCATGCCCACTCTGTTTGTTTGTATGTGTTCAGCCTACATCACCTCAAATCTGTGAGTTCCTGACAATGATGGCAGTGTGCCACACAGTGGTCCCAGAGAGGGAGGAAGACCAGATCATTTTCCAAGCCTCCTCGCCAGATGAAGGAGCGCTGGTCAAAGGGGCCAAAGGACTCGGATTTGTCTTTACTGCAAGAACCCCACATTCAGTCATAATTGAAGCTGTAAGTGTTTGTGTTATTGCAGTAATAGCTGCTTAGGAGCAAAGTTAGGAGCTGACATCTTACTGTGTATTTCAGAGAGGAAAAGAGATGAGTTATGAGCTGCTGAACGTGCTGGAGTTTTCCAGGTAATACTCACATAAATGTTCTTCTCAGTCAGTAAATAACTCTGTAATATAAGACTGTAGTGTGTTTTGAAACTAAAGCCACTGCTTCCTTTATAGTAACCGCAAACGTATGTCTGTGGTGGTCAGAACCCCCGACGGGAAGCTACGGCTGTACTGCAAAGGAGCTGTATGTTTATCTCATTATAATTTTAATTCAGCACTCTGAATTGCGGTGAACATTTTTCATTTAATGCTGAATTTCTTTTGTTGCTTTTTAGGATAATGTCATTTTTGAACGTCTGACTGAGGTGTCCCAGTACAAAGATTTAACTCTTGCTCATCTGGAAGCGTTTGCTACTGAAGGTAAGAACAAGGGGGGGAAAAAGGGGAGAGGGAGAGGAAGGGAACAGAAGCCATAGTTGGGAGTTTCTCTCTGTTCAAAAGATACTTGTTTGTTTTGTTTCCGTGTACCCATCTATTCTGTCTGCTTCTCAGACTTTCAATGGAAAAACACTCATTCCCATTTAAAAATAATAATCCATTCCTGCTCAATGATCACACTGATTGTCTTATCCTCCTCCGATCCCTCCAGGCCTAAGGACTCTGTGCTTTGCGTATGTGGACCTGGAGGAAGACGCCTACCAGGAGTGGCTGAAGGAATACAATCGTATCAGCACTGTGCTCAAAGACCGTGCACAGAAACTAGAGGAGTGTTATGAACTACTGGAAAAGGTAAACACACCATCTCTTTCTCTGTAGGCAGGTTTGTTTATAGTTAAAGTAGCAGAGATCAAATTTAATATATTATAACAGTGACCAGAAAGAACATAAACATTTTCCTCATACATATACACACAAACACACAGACACACATGTTTGCCAGCAGGTGGCAGAGTGGCTCCATTGAGTCCCACCCATCAATAAACACGGTGCTCCTTCATTACTCATCACAGGCCCATAAATTGCAATACTCAGTCAGGTTTCCCTTTTTAAGGTGTGTGTCTTTTCTTTTAGCAGAATGTAAAAGGATGACATTGTGGAACTCTTGTATTGGTTGTCAGACGGGTAGCCCCGAATGGGGGAAACAGTGGAAAAAAAGACTACAGAGATCTCAGTTGAGAGGATATTCAGAAGAGAGTTGAACTGATAGGTGGGAAAACCAAGGGTTTAGCATAGAGAGCCGAGGTGAGAAAAGTAAGTGAAGAGGGGGGGAAAGAGGAAGCGGGAGGAGGAGGGGAGCTCAGACTGGGAGACCACAAGGGTAATTACCTGCACCAGCCTGCCAAAAGCCCCATAAAACTGGAGTCAACAACACAGTAGTGTAAAGTTGTGTGTCTGTGCGAGTGTTTGTGTGTGCGTCCGAGTGTGTCTAATGAGGGTACACATGCATTTAAATGCTGAACAAATTAAAGCAAGGGGAGGAAAGGTAATGGGTTACATCTTGGCACGAAGACACAGAGTTGGTACAGAGGTCCAAATTGAGCTGCCGTACCAACTGAACTGAGCTCGCTGGCATCGTTCTCATCCTCAAATTAGATATGGATGATGTTCTTCAGAAAGAAAGAGCCCTCACATACAGGCTGGTGATGTCTGGCTGAATTTGTAGCCTAAATATGATTTATTTCAACCGACTTTTCTCTTTTGTGCCATATTTTGTTCTCATTCTCTTTTTGAATCTCCTCAAATTATTTCTGTCCCTTTATCTGTCACGCTCCTCTGTTCCACCAACAGAACTTAATGCTGTTGGGCGCCACAGCCATAGAGGACCGTCTCCAGGCTGGCGTGCCAGAAACCATTGCCACTCTGATGAGGGCTGACATCAAGATCTGGGTCCTCACTGGAGACAAGCAGGAGACTGCCATCAACATAGGTGAAAGCATTTAAAATAAACATAGGTTACAAGAAGAACAGTTCTCCCGCAAGCAGATGGAAAGCAAGAGCAGCTTATCGGGTATGAGGGTGCGTTTAGTGGAGTATGTGCCAGTCAAGTAGGCAAATTCAGCGATGGTGTGGAAGTCCCCTTGTCACTGCAGCCCGATGTGCAGCAGTGGAAGAAACTGTATGTATCGTGGAGTTAATTAAATCATTGCTAGAAGAATAGCAGGCATTATGTGGGCTGTGAAATTCCAGACATGTCTCCAATCTCTCAGTGAATTGTGCCAGGGTAGAATGAACTAAAAGTTTCACAGCAGTGATGCTAGTGTGTTTGGTTTCTGTTGGACGTGGTGGAGGCACTTGGTGGCAGTTGTCCACAAAAACAAGACTTGGAAGAATTAACATTTCTGAGTAGATACTTGTCGCTCTTAGTTAAGAAGTTGGGACATCCCCTGAAACTGTTGAGTACAAATCGTCTTTTATTTTCCAATCATTACATGATTGGGCTGCTCTCTTCTGTAGTTTTGCTGTAATTGGCACATGATGTAGTTGAACTATACGTAAGGGTCAGATAGCTGTGTCCAATCGTACATGAGACCAGTTTTTCAACTGTGTTTTGGGTTTGAGTAAATCTAATCCCACATTCTATATCTTCCACTATGTGTTTCTGTTTCTCAGGTTACTCCTGTCGTCTGGTGACACACGGCATGTCCCTCATCATTGTCAACGAGGACTCTCTGGATGTGAGTACATCCTCCTCTTGCACCTTCTGGCCTCCTTCATTGACATCTGTGTACACTTTGTACAGTTTTGGGACTTTTTGTGTGTTTTTGTGTCCATACGGGAGGGAGGGAGTTATGTGGTAGGGTCTTAAGCAGGTTACCTTGGGAACAAGGGTGTGGTCCACAGCCAGATTGGTGGGTGGGGCTCTTTGTGTGCTCACAGGTGCAGGTAATTAAAGTCTCTGGTGTCTCTTTGGAGAAAGGGATGAAAAGAGACAAGTATTGAACTATCAGGTCTTTCCCTCTCCTTCTATCTCTCACACACACAGAACCAGGTTTTCATGTACAGACTGTATTCAATCTATTTATGTTCCTTTTGCTATTTAGAGTGAGTTCAGAGACGTTATCTCCAGATTAGATTTATACACCAGTTATGTGTTCTTTACATTCAGGCTTCATGTGGGACTGCTTAAGTGGCATGATTATTGTCATATGTCTCTGTGTCTGTCTCTCTTCCACACACTTCCCCGCTCCCATGTGTGCTTACATTCAAACATGTATACACCCACAATCACAGTGTGTTCACTTTTACAGTTTGTTTATATGTGAGGCTGGGGAGATTATGCCTCATAAATTTTAACTATAGGCACGGTGTGTGTGCTTGTGCTTGTGTGTGTTTGTTTATGGGTTTGATGTGTGAGTGCAGTGTTTGTGGGCCCAAAGTGTGTGTTAAACCTTGCTGGAGAGACATCTATGTTTACATTCAAACTTTTCTTGCTTCGTGGAAGTCATTGCGCAGATGATGGGTGCCTTGGACACTGAGCTTTTAGCTTTTATTAGTCTATAGCATGATCAACATTGCATTAGAGACCTCTGTGTGGTTAATATCGCATCCAACTGGAATTGTGTGTCAACGGATTTTAACGTTGGTCATGATTTTAAATATAATTGTACAACTACACACCTATAAGAATATCGCTTTCCCGTATTATGTCAACTTCTAGTAAAAGAAATAGCTGTGATGTTACATTCACATGCATCAAAGTGGTGTCCTGAAGCTCACAGACTGTGGGAACTGCTGGTCAAAGTCCAGACAGCGTGCAAGGCCATTTAGACGCTGAGTTAATTGAGTTAGACAGGGTGAACATTTAATGTCAGGGTAATAAGGGTACTTAGGACTGCCTATGCATTTAGTACAAGAGGGGGAAAGCCAATAAAGTTATCATTGAGAGTGGATCATTCGTAATATGGTTTGGAAAATTTTGTTAACAACCGGTCTACCATGTTTGATCACATACTGTACTTTTCCAGAAAACAGATTAATGTCTAATTGCTGTCTGGTCAATATAGTTTGGGTCGGAGGATGAAACATTTGGCTCTAACAGCTATATTGCCTAAACATATTTGAAATTCTTGTCCATAAGCTTTAATTGCCGTCATAGGGAATGTTACGCCTGTCTTCCTTGGAGAACTCCTCTGCAGAGATTAACCATAGATGTACAGTAGGTCCAAAAGCACATAAGACGAGTTATTGTTATCAGAAGCTCTGAGACTATTTCTGCACCTACATGCCAGTAAATGTTCCTAATCCCTTTCATTAGGAATATTTTCAGGCATGAAAAATCTCTTCTAAGGCTGAAGGACTTGTAATGAAGGATTTAGGCTATGGCTGAGAGGTGCTGTCTATAGATGGGACTTCCAGTACAAACAAGGACAACTGTGGTGAGCTGATCGCGTGTTGCATTATTTTTTCAGACAAATCTTTCTTTCATCTAGAGTTTGAATTAAAGTGGATGGCAACTAGAACTAAAAAAAGTAAGAAAAAAAGCTGTTTCTCTCACAATGGCATTTTAAAATCCAACTCTCATTTTGAGAGGGGAAAGACTACAAAATTTAAGTAATTGTGGCTAGAATTTTTCTTAATATGATTTTGTGTGATGCAGTTTTAGACTTACCATTTGCCAAATTCAGATTAAGACTTTCCATTAAACTTGGTGCAGTAGGGGTTCCATCCTTCAGCTGGAAAGCCTGGCCTCAATACAGAGTAATGGCAACCGCTCCGCTCTGTGTCCTTCGGCAAGTTTTTGAATCTGTACCAGCTCCGAGGGGGGGTGAGTTATTACCGTTGAAGAGGTTTAAGATTGAATATGTTATTTTCGTTCAAAGGGTTCTTTAGTAAAGTGGTTGTACTAACACATTCCTATATGGCACACAGAGACAGGAAAGTTGAGAAGGACAGCTGGTTGACATGAAACATAAACCATGTGTCGTGAGTGGAATTTTTCATGTGATGAGTGCATGATCTACAGTATGCATTAGAGCCTGTGATGTTTGTAGCGTACTTTCAAGTGGGTGTAAATGCAACGCAGCAAATATGAGACAGAATAAACAATGTGACAAACTGCCGCAACGAAACCCAGTTATAAAATAGGAATAATGAATTCACATCCCCTTTTACGCAAATCGGATCAGTTATTCAGTATCCTCTCCCTCATTAACATCACATCGATAACTTGAATTTACATTTGGACACATGGAGGTAAGACAAGAGACATTCTCACAGGGATGCCTGTCAGTCGGGTAAACTTCAGAGAGCTCTGGTTGTGACTGGTGGTCGGTGTGGATGAAAGCGATGCTGTCTTCAGAGCAGCACTGATCTTGCACTTAAAATAACTCACGCTGGCTCAGCTTCTTTATGCATGTGGGCCTGTTTGAAAGTGTAACCTGCACATGAGTGAAAACAGAAGCTGCTTATCAAAATCTCACCTCGAGGTTGACCTCTTGGCCCCACTTTTAAGAATTTGTCCCAACTTTTCACTCTCTATCACACCTTCTTTCTGCTGTTATCAGTGTTGAGGCAGATCTTTGCGGGGGATCTTGCAGTTGTCAGTCTTGGCCGCAGATACAACCTGCCCCCCCCCTTTCTCCGATCAAGCTCATTCTCCGCTCCATGTCTCCTTCACACTACTACCTCCACATCTGTCAGCACCCTCTCTATGCACAGGAAGCGACTACACAGCCTCTGCGGTGTGTGACAGGAAAAATGTGTGTGTATTAGAGGGAGAGCAGGAACAAGCAACAAAATGTGTGTTTATCTTAGTGGAAGCGCAGAAGTGTGTTTGTGAATAAAGCAGGGGGAGTGTTTATTGTACTTCATGTAGGAGATAGACAATCTGGATAGAGAAGGAAAGGGGGAGAAAAAGGGGGAGATTTGGCCGAGCCATGTGAGAGCGATGAGTGAGTGGTAATGCGATCTCCTTTTGGTGCTCCTCCTCATCAAAACAAACCCTGTGAGCAATGCCTCCTGGGTAAACGGTTTGCGACTGCTGAAGCTGCGACAAGCGCCATCTGTCACCTTCAGATCACATACCACACACAGACTGACACAAATCTCTGCCCTGTCTCCTTCTGTTTAGTCAATACTGAAGTACACACAGTCTCCTTTTTATCTCCCTATTTCTGTCTATGAATCTGTCACACACATACACACACACTCTGTTTACCCTAGATGCAGTGGCACATGCTCACCCTGATGAGCTTGATAGTTCTGAATATACATTACATAGAATTTTCCCACAATCCCCCTCTGCCCGTCATGCTGCCCGCAGTACAACTCTTAAACAAACAGCATCGCTCTTCTGCTCATTAATCATCTTTATGCGCAGACACACACCACAGACACACACACACATTCACAATTTTGGTGCCTCAACTTGCTCTGTTGTTCTGGCATTTTTCAATTTATAATATTTTTTTGTACATCAGGCCTCCCACGGTTAAGTCCACATCTGTCTGTCTGTGTCTGTATTTTGGTCAGGTGTGTGTGTGCGTGTGCGTGTGTGTCCTGCGGGTGCGCGCGGGTATGTGTGTGTTTCTGGCTCAGGCAGCAGAGGATGTGGGTGTTTGCACAGATGCACAGTCAGATAATTAAACGGTATATTAAATCTCACTGGTGACAGAATCTGCACTTCAGATATGAGCATGTCTTTCTCTGCCTTCTTTTCACTCAGCAGCTCTCTCTCTCTCTCTCTTCTTTCTCCCCGAGTCTGGTCCACGTTCCTTGTCCTTCGTCGGACTCCTTTTCTTTGTACCCTTTCTCATTCATCTTGCTTAGTGCTTCTTTGTATATTTTACACTCTGCCTGTGTACATTTGTCATAAAGGCATTGCGCTCTCTTTGAATGGAGAGGGTGACCTGGAACGGATCAACATTTGAGGACCTCATTTATATATACATATATAGATTGATATCTGTGTCTGTCTGTGTGTGATTGTTTGTTCTTATGCATTTTATGGTAAAGTACGCAATGAGAGAAGGTGACCTGTTTTATCTCAAACTGACCCCATGCCCTGCTCATTTTGTGATCCAAATATAAACCTGATAAAATTCCATGCAGAAGGGCCTGTGAACAGTGTGTGGGTGTGTGTGGGTGTGTGTGTGTGTGTGTCTGTGTGTGTGTGTGTCTGTGTGTGTGTGTGTGTGTGTTTCGTGTGTGCCCTCTTCAAGCTCGGATGCATATGAAAAATAAACATTTAGTTTGGAACATAAAAATGCTTGCTAATGAGATCAGTCACATCGCAACTGGTGCAATCAAAGAATTAAGCAATGTTTCCTAGTCTCCAAAAATAGCAGGTAATTTAGCGTGAGAACGAGAAAAGTTACATAGTAATGGATTTTCTTTGGTCTCATGTTTGTTCTCATTTAGAAAGTGTTTAAAAGGTCATAGTGAACCTTTTTGTCAGCTGTTTCTTTTCATGTTAAGTCTGCATTCTTTTTCATGGGCATACAGTTTGGTCTGGACTTGCTGTAATTTACTTAGTGGCTGCCTGTTGGCTTTAAGAACTAACTAGTGTTTGTCCCTTAGTAACCTTTTTAATCTTCTACAGCTCCCTGTAGATTTAGCCTGGTTATTATCCCAGGTTATCTTAGCCGCCACTAAAGCTTTGACTGGACCTGCTGTGACAAGTCGTCGTGGTGTATTAGCACCTCACTGCCATGCTGGTGAACTGTCTGCATTCATTTGAGGATTGACCTATGTGTGTGACCCTCTGTTTCATTTTATGATGTGAAAATGACATGGGTTCATACTATGGTGAATTTCAGCCAGAACTAGCTACTGAGCCCTTATTATATTCCTCTAAATACATCATACAGTCAGTGTGGAATTTGAAGCAGAAAGAGCTTCATGGAATCAAGCCCCATCCAGAAAGTTGTGCAAACGTTAAAGCATCAACACCCATCACCCCAAATATGTGTCATGTACAGTGTTTTTATACAATAATTTTTCACTTAAGTGCTGTTTACTTTGTATTATGGTGCCGAGGCTTTTTGTGTCCATTCCTCTGTGATGAGGTGAGGACAAACAGGAGGAAAAAGGAGGTTTTGTCAGATTCTCATCTCTCACACATGCACTACATGTGCACACATACACAACTCTTGTTCACTTGCATGCAAACAGACACATACACGCATACACATGTTTTACTCCTCTGTAAAAACACATGCACATCACACACACATAGACACTTTGAGTTTCAGAACTCTGACAACCTGTAATCTACTTTAATCCTTTCATTATGTTTTTGTTTTCCTTTCCCCTGTTTGGGGAAAAAGGTGAATGCAAACAGGAATTCCGGCATACAAAGAAAAACACACAGCCTCAGGCTGAGAAAACAAGAGCAGGGAATTTTTGGGAAGAGGAGGGATACTTGTGTGAGGACGCATGTGTGCATCGCTGTTTGGCAAGAAGAAGAGAGAATGCATTGTTCATGTGATTTTGTTACATTCATATGTAAGCGTGCGTGTGAGCTCGCTGTGTTGTCTCTTGCACATGCTGATCGGGGGACAGAGGGGTCATCTCACTGCGGGTCACTGAACTCTCTCAGGTCTGATGGCCGCCAATCACCCACTGTGAGAGACTGTGTAGATTATTAACAGTGCCAAATTTTCTAATATTTGTGCACTTTTGTATCTAGACTTTGGTTTTGTGTATCTGGTTGCTATTTGTTTAGTTGTGTTGGCCATGTTTCCACAAACAGTTCCTGTTATGGACTATTTCATTTTGCGTCACTCCTTGTTTATTTTGTGTGTAACCTGAATTGCACGTATACAACTAGTGAGCTGTTTATTACAATACTGGACAACATGTGTGGATAAAACATTCTTGTTCCATCTGTTTAGTGTTGCAGTGATTTTAATAGACTTTAACCTGATTTCACCTGGTGATCTCCTTTAATGTAAAGAGATCTTAGTAAACATTAAGCCAGAGCTGGAACTGTTAAAGTTAAAGTAAAAATAGGTCTTAATTCATCTTAATCTTATTTTTCACTGTTACATGGTTTAATGACAATTGAAAGTAAAAGTTGTTTTTTATTATTTCTTTACTGGATAATCAACAAAACCTCTGTTTAGCATCTAAAAGGTACAGATGGACCACACAAGGCAGGCATGATGCACATTAGACCACATTTAATACTCTGCAACATTGGGACCCCATGGAAATCATAACTTCAGTTAGTGGAAACGAAGAATTCAGGTGTGTGTGGTGTGTACATATATGTGTGGGCCTGACTGGTAGCTTGTAGCGTGCCTGCTCTTCCACATGGAATTCATTACAACTCTGTGGGATGTTTATTTTCTCTATTAATCCCTGTTCCTCTATTATCAAGCTCCATCAAAACTGCCCCAAACTACTTCCCTGCAGGCAAGCTGGCATTCTCTCTCACTCACACACTCACACACTCACTCACTCACTCACTCACTCACTCACTCACTCACACACTCTCTCTCTCTCTCTCTCTCTCTCTCTCTCTCTCTCTCTCCCTGTTATAAATGAGTGATGCATTTTACCCTGCCACAATATTAGTCCAACTGATTTATCTATTTTCCCCTTTTCCTCTAGTTGTGTGTCTCTTTTGCATATTCTCTCCCAGTGTGGTGTGTTGCTGCTTTTGTGAATTTTTGTGAAGATATACCATTTCATGCCATGGTCCAACATGCCCCCAGGGACCTCTATAGCATCAGCGTGTTGTGATGATGTCAAGAGCAACTGTGAACTTTTTGTTGGCATTCTTAATTGTTTAGTGTACACAGAAGCAAATTCTTTCCCCCAGATGAAAGCAGCCCATGCAACCAGGAGCACATGTCTTCCATTTACCGCCGGTGGTTTTGACCTTTCAACAAATTGGTCTCTGTTTTGATGAGTGTGATTTGTATTTTTACCACTGTGAGCCCACAATATCGCCACAAAAACACAAAACCTGAAAATACGGATACTTGAAAGGGCCTCTGCCTGATTGGATAAGAAAAGGAATTCTTTTTTGTGTGAGAGTTATGATTGGTTAGGGTGCAGATTAGGATTTGATTGTTGGCAAGTAGTAGTGAGGTTCAGGGTTAGAGGTTAGGTTTTCACTGTAAGCAACAGCATTTCCTTTTACATCCTTATGAGCACTGATGTGTGATGTTGCAGATAAAGGCATGCAGTAAAAGGCAATGTGTGAAGCTTTCTACCCTGTCTTTGAAGCTTAGTTTTGGGGGAAAGGAAGAATATCTAGTCAATACTTTCTACTAGAAAAACACTAAAGAAAATCCTAAACCCCCAAAAACTCTGTCTTTGTCCCCTTGCAGGCTACACGTGCCACACTGACAACTCACTGTTCATCCCTGGGCGACTCCCTGAGGAAGGAAAATGAGCTGGCGCTGATTATCGATGGTCAGACATTGAAATACGCGCTGTCCTTCGAGCTCCGCCAGGCCTTCCTTGACTTGGCATTGTCCTGCAAGGCTGTCATCTGCTGCCGGTAGGGAACACTCATTCACATACATTGATACACAGAGAGTATCTGCACAGATAGACACACATCACTTATGTCTAGTCTTATCATTGGCTGTCATCTAGTAGGGCAACCACCAACTGGAAGACACCTCATAGAGAAAAAATGCACACAAAAGCTTCAGAAAAAAATCAGTTGAAACCAAAATCACACACAGATTAATTCTCACTGTGTTGTGCATGATAAAGAGAGAGTCGGTGTGTGTGTGTGTGTGTGTGTGTGTGTGTGTGTGTGTGTGTGTGTGTGTGTGTGTGTGTGTGTGTGTGTGTGTGTGTGTGTGTGTGTGTGTGTGTGTGTGTGTGTGTGTGTGTGTGTGTGTGTGTGTGTGTATGGATGCGCACGCCTGTATACCTGCGTGCACGTGTTTTTGTAAAGGTTGTCGGTTGCCTACAGTCAGCAAATGAACAAGGAGGATAAAAGCCTGTCCTGCAGCACAGCAGGAGTAATGTAATACACTACGCTGCATGGAAATGTCAAAGTCATGACTCACTTACTGCTGGTACCCCTGAAATGGGCACCAACACACAAACACACTCTCTCTCTCTCACTCACACACACACACACACACACACACACACACACACACACACACACACACACACACAGACTTAGCCATTATACATTTCCATTCATACAAAGTGCACTCTGTCCATAGAATGTTTACTGCATGTTCCCTTTTTTGGTCATGTTTCACTCAACACCAGCTGTGATGTTTAACAAAAGAGTTTCCACTTGTCTTTTGTCTCTGTCTGTGAGTGTGTGTGTGTCTTGTGTATGTGCGTCTGTATGTGTTTGTATGTGCGTGTGTGTGTGCAGCCAGAAGGGAAGCAATTGACTCTCCCTTGCATATCCAGGCCATATCCGGACTCAGGTCTCACAGGCCTTGCAAACAGCCTCCAGCTTCCTTTCCTCCCGTCCTTCACTACATCCCTCTCTCCCTCCACACTACCTCCTCCCGTCTATATCTCTCTTGCTACCTTGGCTGGGGCTGGTAAAATATGTCCAAACCAAATAATAAACATGTAAAGTACTCAAAGTTAGCATCATATATCTAGTCCCATTCATAGTTAGGTCCTGATTTAAAGCACAAATTTTTTTTGTTGATTCTGACGGCCCCTGTGGACAAAAGCAGAAGTGTTTGCACCGCCTTGTTTCATTGATTTCAAGGGGAATCTGACAGAATGTACTCGGTTTAAAATGTTGCCAGTTTGTGCAAAAGAGCAAACTTCAGGTACTCGAGTGTAGAGAAGCATGTGGAGTTTTCATAAAAAGCTTTAATTAGTAACATAGCTTGCTCATGAAAGTTCTTTATCAGGCTACATTCATCAAATCTCCACATATTTTTTGCTCCGCTACGCATAAGTACCTGAAGGCTTTTTTTCAGGAGCACCAGCATTGGTTTGTTGAGTGCATCCCAAGATTTACCCATTGAGTAAAACACTGGATTTTTTGATTCCTCAGATTGTGTTTTATATGAGCAGTTAGTGAGGCCAAGACTCTCTCTGAGATAAAACACCAATACATAAAAAAGAAAGATCAAACAAAAGTTGCAGAATTAGTTTTTTATTGTTTCCTTGACCTGTAATCATCTCATGATGCCTTGGGAGGTCCTGACCCACATGTTGGGAACCACTGCGGGGGTGGTGTGTGTGTGTGTGTGTGTGTGTGTGTGTGTGTGTGTGTGTGTGTGTGTGTGTGTGTGTGTGTGTGTGTGTGTGTGTGTGTGTGTGTGTGTGTGTGTGTGTTCAGGGCACGATACTGTTAATAAGGTGCCTGTACATAATGAGCTTTGACTTTTAAGTATAGAGGTGCCTGTGAGATAATGTCTCACCTACAGTATGTTTCACAGTTTGGGAGCGTGTGTGTGTGTGTGGGGGGGGGTATGTGTGTGTGCCTCAGGGGCGGCAGAGTCACTGTGCACCCATACGCATGGCTTCCTGACTTCACTGTGCGTTTGTTTATGGGAGGACTTAGCGGCTGCTTATTTTCTGCTCATTTCCACCGTGAAGAGCACTGGGAGCCTTTCATCTTTGCAACGCCACTTTACACAATCCCAGACACTGTCAGCAGTGTTTAGAGGAAAGGTAGAGAGAGAGAGAGAGAGAGAGAGAGAGAGAGAGAGAGAGAGAGAGAGAGAGAGAGAGAGAGAGAGAGAGAGAGAGAGAGAGAGAGAGAGAGAGAGAGAGAGAGAGAGAGAGAGAAAGAGAGATTTGTGATCAGAGGCCGAGCGGCGCACAGGCAGACACACTCACACGCACTTCAGACACAGAAACAGGAAAAACAAAGAGCAGAGGTTGATCCCATCCTTCAGCAACAACTACAGAGGCCAAGACTCTCTCTCTCTGAGGTTTTCCCCTGGAAATATCCTCTGGTGTGGGGTGGGGGTGGGTGGAGGTGTGTCTGTGTGTGTTTGCGCATGTGTGTAAATTTGCGTGTTTTTGCACACTCCTTTTTATGAATACTAAGAAGACCACCCAACTCTGTGATTTCAGCTTGACCGGGACATGATCCTTCTAACATATTCATAGAAGATAGACCATCTTTGTGACCTGTGGGCTCTAGCCAGACGTATGTGTGTGTTTGTGTTTGTGTTGGTGTGTGTGTGTGTGTGTGGTGATACATCTGCTCATAATTTTGTTTAGTCATATCTTTATCAAAGCATCATATTGTATTCTGTTTGCATGTGATTGCTCATGCAGCTGGATGTAATTTAATTTTGTAATATCATTATTACTGACGAACATGGTGGAGATTTGGTGCTAGACCTAAGAGAGCTGTACTTGTACGCTGTCATTGTGAAGTCACTCCTCTGTTTGAAGTTCAGTCCATACTTTAAGTGGATAGACCTGTGTTAATACTCAGATTACTATCACCTAATACATCACTGAGGCTCGGGTAATTACTATAATCAGGGAAATGTAATGTAAATATTTAATATCTGGATTTGGGTTAATCTCTTGTAATGCAGGCAACAAGTGGCCCCTTGTACCTCTAAATGATGTTGAAATGTATGTAATAAATACCACATTTTATATAAAAAACAAATATCCTAACTTAAGATACTATAAATGTTTTTTTTCTCATACTGTACGTTAGCCACTATAGTTATAAATCCTGTACTGTGGGAAATATATCTTCTTTTGTTATACAAGTTTAATCCCAGTCCCAGTATCAGTTTTCTCCCATGTCTCCTCCTTTTGTAGATATATTTGTTTTCACTGCACAGATTGCATGTAGTAAGAACAAGACTTGCGTAAGCTGTGCGCATGTGAATGACAGACAGTTGGAACGCCCCCTCATACAAAGCATGTTTTGAAAATGGAGATGAAGACAAATTCAAGCCTAGTCATTGGGTCCAGAATGCAGCTTTTAAGAACGTAAACACAGTGTGTGGGGTAGGATTTTTCTCACACAACCACCTCCCAAGATCCCTGCCAGTGAAGCATGTTCATTCCCTGATATATCTCTCTTAAAAACAACCATTATCCAAAGCTGAAATTTGAACTGTACAAATAAACGGCTCATATACAAACGCATGTGAAAAGCAGGGTAGTATAAATGGCTTGGCATAAAAGAAATGAGGAATTTTCTTTTGTCACTGCTTCACAAAATTAATGATGTGATCCAAAACCTCCAAACTAGCTACTAAATGGACTTCTGTCTACATTCCCTTGAAGTTCTTAAAGTGCTCAAACAACTGGGCAAACTACCCCTGTTGAAGAAGACCATGTGATATGATCAAAAGCTCGAGATCAGCTACTAAATAGACCTTTTAGTGAGATTGTCAAGAATGTACTTTTATGTTTTTCTAAGCTAAAATTAAGAAAATAGCTCCTTAGCAGGGTTTTCTTTCCAAGGCAGATGGTGGAAGAAATTAAGGAATTGAAAAGAAAAACCACTTCCAAAACCTCTTTAGTAGAACCAAACAGAATAACCAATACAACATAGGGCCGTGAATGGAGCAGATTCAAAACATGGCAGTATAAAAGGAAAGAAAAAATATCCACAGTGCTTCAGCAAATGCAGCCGAACACCTCGCTATCATCTCTCAGTGGCCCTGAGGGAAACGTCTGTAATCGAGCCTCCCTGGGTCCTTCATTGTCATTGTAGAGACAGAACCGGTTATGAACAGGAGGATCAGTGATACAGGTCAAGAGGGTGGAGTACCACTGGAAGCTCCCTGAACACACACACACACACACACACACACACACACACACACACAACACACACACACACTCTGAGGCACACTCAGATGTATGCAGACGTGCACAAACACACACCACTGTAAGCACACACACATATATATATACACATCAAACGTGAGCTACCCACAGTCTTATTAGCAGAACAGTGAATCATTGTTTCCTAATACCTGGTGAAGAGCAGTAAACACAGCCCTGCAGTGTGTGTGTCTCTGCCAGCCTCTCATCTATCTTTCTTTTTCCCTTTCAACTATTTCCCTCTCTCAGGCTTTATTTATCTTTCCTAATTGCTGGTCTCTTTGTTTTTCCCCCTCAATTTCTAAAATTCTTTCTTCTTTTCTTTCAGTATTCTTTTATCTTCTACATTTAATTTCCTACTGGTTCAGACAGCTGTATACACTTACAATGTCCACCAACCGTGTCTATCCTTCTATTTTCATTGTTTCTGCAGAGTGTCTCCACTGCAGAAGTCAGAGATTGTGGATATGGTGAAGAAACACGTGAAAGCCATCACGCTGGCGATAGGCGACGGTGCAAATGATGTGGGCATGATTCAGACGGCTCACGTTGGAGTTGGGATCAGTGGCAACGAGGGCATGCAGGCCACCAACTCTTCTGACTACTCCATAGCACAGGTGGGATGCAGAACACAGCCTTGGTTGGGGTCACACAGATACATTACAGGCTTTATATGAACATAGATAATGGATACATGCTTGGTTGTCCATCCTGCTTAAGTGTCTTTAGAGAAGACACAGAATCCTTACCTGCTCACTGTTCAGCTGATCCTGATCTTTGACCTCCCTGCAGGGGGACAGCTGAAAGGAGAATTTACTTACAGGGGTCACTTGAGTATCATGTTATCAATACAAAGGGCTCATCACATGTTTATATTCTTACAATAAAAGAAAGTCCACAAGAAAATACATATATTTATTAGCTCTTAGCTGTGTCAGTAAAGTCAACGTTTCGTTTTTCTTTTTTCTTTTTTAATTTTTTTGCCTTGTTTTATACAAAATATTTAAGATTTCTCCATTTTGTAAATACATTAATTGTCTAACCAGGACAGCTCATGAGTTCCCATTAGAGCTGGAAAGATTAACCAATTATTTGATTTTTTTATGGACAGATAATTAATTGACTGAATTTTCAGATTTTCTGTTCTGTATAATTGTAAATTTGGATTTTGCTATTTTAACTGTGGTTTTCACAATTTTCTGACATGTTAAAGACTAAACAAACAATCTATTACTTGTAACAAAAAATAATTGACAGAAGTTAATTTAGCCCTTAAGGACAACTAAATGAAAATGTGAACAGCATGAAGTGCAACCATAGAGTACTCCTAATTACTGAGGAGTCACTCACACAAATGCATTTTTGTTACTTTCACTGTTTGACTTGTTTATCTCTTAGCCTTTAGGCATCTTGCACAACTTATCTCAATCAGTATGCTGCCTCTTGCCTCAGCTTTCTTGTTTCCCTGTCACATTCTTGATGTTCCCACTGCTCACTTTCCTTTTACTTTTATTTTTATTTTGTATAATACTAATAAATCTCTTTTCTTTCTGACTGGTAGTTCTCCTACCTAGAGAAGCTGCTGCTGGTCCATGGGGCGTGGAGCTACAACCGTGTCACCAAGTGCATCCTCTACTGTTTCTATAAGAATGTGGTCCTCTACATTATAGAGGTAGGAGCTTCCCCGCCGCACCCTCTCAGTGTTACACACACACACACACACACACAGTTACATTAACAGAGACGTTTTGCAGCTGTTTGTCGACATGGCTGACAGTGATGGACGAGGTGCCCTTCTGGTGTCTGCTTTCTGTCTCTTGTGCACACGTACACGCACATAAAGAAACGTGTGTTTAGATCAGCAGTGACGAGACCTTGGCTCCAAGGGTTGACAGCTTTGTGTGTGTGCGCGCCATGAAGGGGCACGCTGCAGTCCTGGCCTGCCTGTTATGAGGGGTATTCGTCAGCTGTGCTCCACCCTCCCTCACCCCTCTGTCTGACATTAAGGATGCCAGCAGGTGCAGGTCCTCATGGGAGCCGCAGCCTGTAGCCGACTGTCCCGCTCACACCACCACTCTCTGTCTGTGTCTGTGTGTGTGTGTGTGTGTGTGTGTTTCCATGATTATCTCACATGATTGGCTCCCTGCAGATTGCTCTAGGCCAAAGGTTAGAGACTGTCTCTGTCCACTTGGTGGAGACAGAATAAGGGGGATGGGGGTGTGTGTTTTTGTATATCTGACCTCTCCCCTAGGCTGTATGCTCCACTGTATGCCCAGGAATGCCACAACTCCCACCAGTGGCCCCAAACATTTTCTCTATCTGCCCTCAGATCAGCCTGTGTCTGCACTCTGTGTGTTTGAGTGTGTTTATAAAGGCGTTAATGAAGGTTTCCCCTGGGCCAGAGTCACATTTAGACACTGTGTGTTTCAGTAAATTAACTTCTATAAAGTCAGAAAGTGGTTTCACAGCTGGCCACAACTTGTGTGAGGAATGCATTTAAAACTTCTTGCCAGAAGACTTAATGGAGCTACAGGAAATACAACTACAGTATTAGCATATTTTATATTTAGAAATCTGTGCAACATCACCAGATGAATAATAATGCTTGTGAATAATTACTATAAACAAATGGTGTCTCTGTTTCTTTTTTGCCTCAGTGTTAACTTCTCAAAAATATGACCACATTTCCCATGAACCCTGGTGCAGTTTTCTATTCGCCTCATTATTTAATTTCTTTTTTTCGTACCTGTTAGCCAGGTACAAGTCTGTTGAGCGTAAAATCTGTTTTTCCGAGAGAAACCTCGCCAGGAGGACAGCAGTAAAATGCTGTACAACAATTAATACATACAGCATAAACTGGCTAAGGAAACTGTCAAATGCTACAAAAGAGTGGGGACGATATTTAGTTAAGATGTGTAAAAACTTTATGATAGACGTTCAAGTACAGACAGCGAACAGAATTTTTGGTTTCTTCTGGCACTACAAAATACAAAAAGCTCCATGTTCTACTGAAGTTATTTTATCATGTGTTATCATATAATTTTGTAAAAAGAGCCACAAAATTGGCCATCTCTCCCTGCTGTTTCCACTATCAGTACCTCCCTAAGGCAGATTTACCCTCCGCTATTGTTCCTCTCATCCCCTCTCATCCCTCTCTTTGTGTCCCAGCTCTGGTTTGCCTTTGTGAACGGGTTCTCTGGCCAGATCCTTTTTGAGCGCTGGTGTATAGGCCTCTACAATGTGGTGAGTACCCGCCCTCACTCCCTCTCAAACTCTCTCTCTCTTTTCCATTTCTCCCTCGGTTTCACCCCCTCCCTGTTAAGTGTCGTGTCTCTCTCTCTCTCTCTCTCTCTCTCTCTCTCTCTCTCTCTCTCTCTCTCTCTCTCTCTCTCTCCTTATCTCTCAATCAATCTCACTCTACTTGTCTTCTTATCACTGCTCTTTCTGAATGCCAGAAACGTTTGTATGCAATGCGTGTTCAAGAGTGTCTTTCTGAGTGTTTTGTGACTGCTGTGTGTACTTATATGTCTGACTACAGATGCCTTCAGGCTCCCCAAAACATTATGGAATTCCTTTTAATGCTGACCGTCTGATATGAACTCCGATTGTCCAGCTAGTTAAAGTGTATGTGTATATATGTTTGCAGCCTGTTCTGTCATTATGTGGTTTAATGGCTGTATGTGTATTTTGTGTGTAATGCAGATATTTACTGCACTGCCTCCTTTCACTCTGGGGATATTTGATCGGCCGTGCAGCCAACAGAACATGCTCCGTTTCCCACAGCTCTACCGAATCACCCAGAATGCCGAGGGCTTCAACACCAAGGTACATAAGCACTTTTACGGTCTGCACAAACACGCAAACCACGTGCTGCATCTTAAATCAAAACTATATCTGTCATTTTTCCACTCTGCGTTCGACTTGTCATGCCTTGTGGCTCGTTTGCGGGATTGACGAGTGATGCCTGCTGTTTGTTTGGGACGCCAGCAAGTAAACAAGAGTGGCATGGAGAGTGGGATGTATCCATGGCAACCCCTAATGAGATTCATAGGGCCAGAATAAGGAAGTCTTTCATTTTAGAGGGTATACCAGCAACCTAACCTACTGTATGTGTGTGACTCTGTGTGTGTGTACAGTACAGGAGGGCACTTTTTATGGCAAGAACACAGTGGAAGTTGTATGTAACTGTGAGGAATTGCTGTTTTTATTTGTGTGGGAGTGTGGGGGCATATATGTGCTTTGGCATTAGTTTGCACTGACTTGTTTTCCTCTCTTTTCTCCCCTCTTTCTCCCCTTTCTGTCTCTCTGTCTTTCAGGTGTTTTGGGGTCACTGTATCAATGCACTGATTCATTCAATTATTCTCTTTTGGTTTCCGCTCAAAATGTTAGAGCATGGTAAGTGATTTGCCAGAGTAATTCCATTACATACAATATAATTCTGACTGGTAACACTTTGTCATGAGGCATCTGTGTACGTGTGTGTTTGCCCCGCAGACTCTTCCTTCAGTGACGGTCAGGGAAATGATTACCTGTTTGTTGGAAATATGGTCTACACAGTAAGCATCTTACTTGTATTTTCTATGTCTTTTTGTTTCTGTTTTTACTTCTGTGTCTTTTGGCATGCAGATTTGTGCATTTTTTGCATATGCACAGTATTTGTGAACACACAAGCACTGTGCTGCTTCCTCTGAGCCGTTATGAGTCTCCAGTCAATCTAGTCTCGTCTAGACAGTCTGTCTCCTCTCCGCATTCATCCATCTCTTCTCTCTATTCACTTCTCCATCTCACACTCTCGCTATCATTTTACCCTACAGTCATGTGAACGTCAGTGGTGTTTATTTGTTGTGTTATGTGTGTGTGGACTGCAGGGGTCTGTGGAGGTCTTGAGTATTTTAACAGACATTGCTGAGTTTACTGTATAACATTAATGTTTATTATCCCCACAGATGCCAGCAAACTAATCCTGTTTCTGTTTTTTATTTGCCCTCCCTCGTGTGTGTGTGTGTGTGTGTGTGTGTGTGTGTGTGTGTGTGTGTGTGTGTGTGTGTGTGTGTAGTATGTGGTGGTTACAGTATGTCTGAAAGCTGGAATGGAGACCACCGCTTGGACCAGGGTAGGTAACATACTATAATATGCCACACCACATGTGCTGTATTTTACCAAACCGTTGATAAATAAAGAGGGCGGGGGGTGAGGATTTCAGTGTGAGGTTCTCACATAACCTGGTCTAAATGCCTCATATTCAGGAAAGACATGGGAAAAGATGTGGCTTACCTTGATCTAGTGGTGGAGGTTTGGGGTTTCTTAAATTGCGGTTGCTTGCAGCTCTTCTTCCAACCAGTTCACATGTGGCTGCAAATGTTTCCATTGCTTCTGTTCCATATTTCAAACTTATCCACTTCCAAAATATCTAAATGTTGATAAATGAACACTTACAATCAAATGTGCCCTGTGGAGTTGAGTTATTTTTACATTCAGTTCAGTTAGTCCCCAAAACACATTGTGTTTAATAAACGTCTCAAGGGAATTTCCTTACTTAGAAACTGGTTTTGCTCATATTTTCTATCGTACTTTAAATCCTGCATCGTTTACATCTATGTTCACTAGACCTAGGAACTAGGAACCTTTTTAAGTGTTGAATTTGTTTTAAGAGGTGAAACTTGCAAAGGATGAATTAACCTCATAATTCCTCAGTCAAAGCGAAGCAAAAGAGAAAAACAGATCAGAAAACTGTGTGATTACCATCTGTTAGATGAATAGTGCACACAGAAACATAAGAGCGACACAGATTTAATTTAACATAGTTAACTTAAAGCCCAGATTCCCTCATTCCTTTTAAAGAATGTTCTATTCGAGTCATGAGAAATTTATTTTTACGCTCATCTACAATACATGGTTACTGTCAAAGGTTGAAATTGTGTGGGCTATTTCCAGCCCTACTTTCTATGAACAGGCTTCTCATTTATAAACATCAAGGATTCAGGCATCATAATGTCACGGTTACATATTTGCATTGGCACTGTTAATAAGGAACAACTAGCTCCAAAATTTAGTAAGTGCACGCCACAATGTCTGTCGGCTTCAGCTAGCTAGCATTAAGTTTGGAGTTCCAGGGAGAAATACAATAGCAGCTACTAGTGTAACACTAACCAGGACTACACAAAGTTACAGTAGCTCTTGCAATTAGTGAGGAAATGACTTGTGCTGTGTCCCAGACTATCAGCAGGCAGCGTGGATTAAAAGCGCCCCCTCACACTAGTAATGTTAGCATGTATGAAAATCCTGCTGTTTACTATCAAAATATACCAGTAACTAGATATATGCCAGGTGTCTTGCAATAGTGTAGAAAGTGCAGTGTATGCAGGCAAAGCTGGAGCAGCTGTACATGAACTTTGCCTCAGTGAAATACAGTGAAACAGTTAACAAAATGATGTTTAAACGAGGTAATATCTGAACAAAGAATAATTAAACAAAACTGAGAAGTATTCAGTTCAAACGTTTTGTATTGGAACGAAGTGAGCAGAGATAGATGTAGAATTTAGGACAACAGTAGCTCACGCTGTGATGGCGACATGATTTGGCTCCTTTCTCCTGTTGGAGAGAAAGAGAGAGAGAGATTGGCAGGATGGACAGAAGGGCGCTGACACTTTTGTCCGTTCAGCTGTCCACACAACAGCCTGGCAGTAATGAAGCAGGGTCCCACTGGAATTCACACAGTGTCCTCTTACAGCAGATCACAGAGAGCGGGACGAAGACAGGGGAAGGAGGGGAGGGGAAGGTTGTGTATATTCGGATGAGCTATATGTAAACTATTCGACCTCATGCTGTCTCTCTTTTCTATCTCTTAATCTTCATCCTCTCTTGCACTTCCTTCCTTTGGCTCCTCTTTTTCTTTCTCTCTCCCGTAGTTTTCCCACCTGGCTGTATGGGGAAGCATGGTCCTCTGGATGGTCTTCTTTGCTGTTTACTCCGCCATCTGGCCCACCATCCCCATCGCCCCCGACATGCTGGGCCAGGCAAGTCCCTCTCCATTAACATGTGTCACTCATTTCAGTAACAGGGGGTGAATGGGGTTAAAATAGCCTTTCCCTCTACATCTCTTTTCTGAAACCTCCATCACCTGCCCCTCCCTTGTTCTCGGTTGCCAAAACATGGCGCCTATGAGACTCACCTCTTGGGTGTTCCACGTCGGCACTGCTGGAGCCCCGGGGGAGATTTATGCCCTGCCAGCCCCTCTCACCATGCTTCCTGCACCTGCTGCGTGACACCCGAGTCCAGGTCTTTTACTGCCATCCTTGGAGGTGTTGACTCAAGAGGGTGGGCTGCTGCTGGTGGTGATGAGGGGTCCAGTGGGGGTGAGGAGAGTATACATTTGGACCCCTTAATTGAGAGACTCATTTTGGAGTTCGGGGATCAGGCGGGGGTGAGATGAGGTGCCCCACTGAGTGGGTAGAGTCTTGGGAGGGGAAGTGAATAAGGCTGTCTAAACTCCCCTCAGCCCATTAATTCAATTTGTGTCAGAAATCAGGAATGCGGTCAAATATCTCTGCAGCTGCTCAGTCTAACTGGGGAATGGTCAGAGACACTCAACCACCACCCCCAACCCTCCATCGTCTCCCCCTAACTACCCTATTACCTCTCTTATTTCCCCTGCTCCCACTATCTATATTTCCATCTGTCCATGGGGGACGGGATGGAAAAGAGCTGTGTATTTCTACTCAGAATAAGTGTGTTTAAGTGTGTGTGTGTGTGTGTGTGTGTGTGTGTGTGTGTGTGTGTGTGTGTGTGTGTGTGTGTGTGTGTGTGTGTGTGTGTGTGTGTGTGTGTGTGTGTGTGTGTGTGTGTGTGTGTGTGTGCATGAGAATTAATGCGCTACGCATGTCCAACTATGTGTGATTTGTGTCGATTGTAAAGTGGTGGAGAACAACAGTCAGTTTCTATGGATATGACAAATCAGAAAATCATTTAGCATGCCTCCATCCTCAGAGTATATAAAGTGATGATAAAATGTGTCCAGTGCTGTAAAAATGAACTGTGTTCTGTGTGTAGGTGTTTGTCACGTATAGAAACTGCGTGTATGTGTTAGTGCAGTTGGATCTTCTGTGACTTGGTTGTGATTCCAGCTGCTGCAGAGGATATTTTCTAATGATTTTCCCTGTTGCCTTTCCCGCTGGGAACCAAATTGTCTATATCTCTGGATCCAAACACAGAATACAGGAAACACATGATATGGACGGTAATATAGGGGAAGTTAAGGACATTGCAGTGCGTAGTGTTTGTGACTATTGACTTAAAGGTTCACGCCTAGAGACAAAGACTAAGGCTTATGAAACACCACAGAGCTCTCGCAGATAAGCGAAGAGGAGTTATTGGGTAATAAAGGGGAAAATGGAGGGATTTACTGAAACAGGCGAGGACAAGCAACAGAAGATACAGTCACTAGTAATGAAAAGAAGTTGTGAAAGAGTAAGATTGGAGGGAGCCGCGGGAGAAAGAGATGTGTAGGAGTAAGAGGCAAGGAGGCTGACAGACAGACAAATTGAGACAGTGGTTAGATGCATGATTAATCCCTTGAGACAGACTGAGCATGAGGGTCAGAGGTCAATGAGGCTGGCTGCAGCTGGACTCCAGAGACAGGTAGGGGGGATGTATGCTTACTCACTGGCATTTTTATCTTTTAGCAGCATAGAAGCATTGTATTTCAGCTGTGGGAATACTGTGTTAAATCCAGTTTGTGGTGTAGATGCAGGGTGTGAGAGAGCTCTTAAATATGTTTGGCTAGCAAATCTGGCTAACTCAGATTTTTTTTTTTTACCCTGTGAATGACTTTCAATGTGCTTTGTCTCACATTTCTCTCTGCCTTTTCCACACGTGTTTCTCTGTGCTCGTTGCAGAGAAAAATGACTTAATACTCAATTTGAATTAATATACGAGCGAAATAAATGGAGCCTGTGTGTTGTCATTGCAGGCTGGCAAGGTGATGCAGTGTTGGCACTTCTGGCTGGGCCTCGTCCTGGTGCCTACTGCGTGTTTACTCAAAGACTTTGCTTGGACTGCGTAAGTAGAACATATTTAATATAAATACATGAGAAATCCATACAGAGACTATTTAACTTAACCGAAGCGTTTACATAACCCACATTGAGTCTGTGTCAACACTTACGCACACTTCATATTATGAATCACATGTGTCTGCACAGTAAAACGCTCAAACTTTCCTTCATGGGGCTGATGAGCTTATTCCTGCTTTGCAGCACTCGTCGCACTGTGAGGAAGTCTCTTCTGGAGGAGGTGCAGGAGTTGGAGGCGCGGGCCGTTGACCCAGGGGCAGCTGTACTTAGGGATGCCAGCGGCCGCAGGTATATACAGTGTGCTACAGAGCATCATAGGATTTCCTGCATTCATATTCAGTTTTGTTTGTGTTTGGGTTCATTTATTTTATGATTTTTTTATAGGGTTATTAAAATAGCATCACTGCATGCTGTCATTATTTATGTTATTACTCTACGTACACAGATTCAGTATAAAACTGTATATAGGTAATATACTCAGTGGCCACTTTTATTAGGTTAAGATGTAACACAATCCAATACAACAGCTTAGTCAAATTCTTTAACAAAGATATCAATGTTATTAATTTAACTATGTTTGTCATTGAGGTTGTAGTTTGCAGTGGTGTTGAACTGGACAACACTACATTGAGAGGTTTTCCTAATGTTTCTTTCCCATTTACAAACATGAGAGGAGAAGGATATTGGGAACATATTTCAGTATAGTTTGGTACAACACCACCACTCTATGATTAACATATCGTTGAATTAACACATTTTTTAAGATCTGTAAAGGAAGAATATGTGTCAGAGCTGTTGTATTGGGTTGCATTATTTTGTATAGCTGTACCAAATAAAATGGCCAGGGAGTGACTGTACGTTTCTGTGGTGTAATGGTATTTCTTACCCCCCGGTGGCACTGTCCACAGGACCGAAGCCAAGGCTGAGGTCCCGCCGTAGCGTCAGAGCTGTCACACGCTCACAGAGGTAGTTTCTGGGTTTGCACTGTCTCACTGTGTGAACTGTTACCTCAAATGACCTGTGTGCCGCACTGCAGGCTGCTTTGGAGTGACCCTCGCTTGTTTTCCATTAACTGAGTTCATACCTCTCTCTGTTTATCTTTGAATCACTCCTCAGTATCATTTTTATTTCTCTCATTTTGTCTATTTTTTTTTTTTCCATTCCTCCATCTCTGCATTGCGTCACAGGTGGATCAATTTGAACTGCTGTACAAACCTGGTGTGTCTTCTGGTTTTGTCTGTAGTGCTCTCACTGTGATTTAGCTGTGTGCGTGTCACTAGAGCTGTGTTAGACTGCGTTGTTTAGTTTTTGGGGGAAATTTTATAGATAGAAAAAGTTATAGATTACAGCATGTGCACTTAGGATTGTAGATGTTTGACCAGCAGTGATGGAAAGTAACAAAATACGTTTAGTATAATTATATTTTAATAAAGAATCAGAGTTTCCACAATATTTTGCTAATCAAGATTAGAATGAGATGTATAATGTTCTGCTATTATGACTCGCTGTGATAAAGAGTCAGATGTGTGTGAGTCACCAACTCAGGCTGTTTTCTCAGAGCAGTTCTTTCCTTGAAAAGAGCTGGAGAAGTCTTGAGGTATGTTTTCAGATTGGGGAGGGAACGGTGGGAAACAACACTGCTGCTCCTAACCCCTACACAGGGCCCCGTCCTGGACTGACCCTGCTTTAAACCCAGGAAAGCGGGACTGGATCTTGGGGCCCTCTCCATTTAGAATAAGGGAAGTAAGGTAGTAGTGGGCAGAGAGGCGATGGAGCAAAATGGAAAAGAGCACATCTGTGTTTGTAGTTCTTGGGGAGGTCCTGGGGTAGGCATGGGAAAGGTAGAGCGCAGGAGCGTCTCGGGGGAAGAGTTCAAAGGAAACACATCCTTGGGCCTTTCTGAATCTGAAGGTAGCCAGAAAGAAACATTACAGAAGTAGAGAGGACAACTTGAGTCGTACTGATGCATGAGCCTTTCATTTATTTGTCCAGCCACCATTTGGTCTTTTATCATTCACTCAGCACTGTCATCTATCTAACAGACATCATTTTTTTTGGCCAAAGACTTCTTGAGCAAACTTCAGAGACCCTCACTTTTTTTTACAAATGCTCTAGTGAAGGTTCCCAACAGTCACATACAGTATTAAGAATTTCCTAACTGCCTGATCCAAATTTCAACCTTGGGAAGGCTGGCTTTAGTCCATAACTACTCCGTTGATCATCATAGGAGTTAGGGAAACCCCTCTTGTGTGAATTTAATGCTTCATTGGAAGATAAATGTAGTCTTTCATATAAAATTGATTGCGTCAGAAAGTCACTTTTTGCCAGTGCTACAGGCGTCCTTGCATTTACATCCAGTGCCTATGCCTAATAACTATAATGACTGTTATGATGGCGATAAGACTGGAGAGAAGTATCAAACTTAACGTGTATATGTGTGTGTGTGTGTGTGTGTGCGCATGCACTTGTGTGCAATATCTGGAAAGGGCTTAGTTATTTTTGGTCACGGGAGGAGAGGAGCCGTGACGGCGTGTGGTCTCAGAACAGAGGATCCAGTCTTCTTCTTGGAAAGAGGGGGAAGAAGAGGAGAGGAGGTTGAGGGGGGTTCTGGGGAATAGTTTACTGTGGATGTCCTGTTACCCTGCAGCTAGTTTATGACTTACTGTTGGGATAAATTGGATGTCAGAAGCACTTAGTGTCAAATCCACCTCCTACCAACTTTCTGGACTTAAATCTGCTTTGTTTGTATGTTGATCCGTGAAGGAAAAATGTACTTATCAGTGTTTTGCTCAAGGAAAGCTGAAGGTCGAAGCTTTAAAAATCCTGCTGCCTTAAATCTGTTGGCAGTTACATTATATTTCGACATATCACAAAAAAAACCTGCCACTTCTCATAACTGAAAGCAAAGTGATAAAAGCACAGAGAAATATGTACACTAACTAAAAAAATATATTTCCCTGTAGCTTGTAATGGTGTTGTGTGTTAATAGTGGAGATTCTCTCTTTAATTACCAACTGACTAACTGGTTATGTGCCGTCACTGTGGAGTAACTGATCTTTCTTTCCTTTCTCTGCAGTCTAAACGAACGGGCCCATCTGTTGACAAGAGTCTTTAGGAAAACACCTTCAAGCGTAGGACGCTCAAACTCGGTGCAGCAGACTGTGTCACGTGAGTGTCCTTTTTCCAAACACACATACTATAACGTTACCTAAGTCCTGCTCCCATACTGGGGATATTTGGTACAGCTTTGGGTGTAGAATCTTTCTGGCCAGAATGTAAGTCCTGACTTTTAATAATGTGAAGTTTGCTGCACATTGGACAAAGTTTCATGGCGATACGTCGAAATTCAACAACACTTCGTTTGACACACAGTCACAAACAGCACAACTTTTAATTCTGATGGTCTTTAGATTGCACTGACTCAATCGAGTAGATTAATTCCCTGGGAGGAGTTTGTGAAAATACAATGCAAAAAATCACCCAAATATTTGGCCAGGAACACAAAACACTGAGTGACCAGGAAAATAGAAATCCCTGTATAGTTAGGCAGTCGACTATAACAGTCCTGTGATGAATACCACCTTTGTGAAATTCTATTCAACTTTTGGGGAATTTACAGGGCATTGTTTCAAAATACAGCCTCAAAATGTGAATTGAGTCTGTTCACAACCAACCAAAGTACTTCACAAAAACTGAGATATTACTGCACTATACTGCCGTACATACCCCAGAGTTCAACTTTCTTTTTAAAAACCTCCCTCCTCTTGTCTCTCTGCAGACGGCTATGCCTTCTCTCAGGAGGAGCACGGCGTGGTGTCCCAATCCCAGGTAGTGCGCTCCTACGACACCACCCGCCAACGCCCCAGCCTCTAGCCCCACCCCTGACCAAGGCTTCAGCTCACCGTAGCAACGGTTGTCAAGGCGACAGCGGAAACAGACTCACGTGAATACCCCTCACGCCGGGTGACCGACCCCTGCTGTGGCCTTACTAGAACTATGACCTGACCCCCCCAAAGATGGGGGGTGGGGGTCACGGTCAGGCGTGGAGGCCGTCGCTGGCGCATGGAGGACTGACTTGAGAGAAGGGGACCCGGCCGACTTCATGGAATATTCAACATAATTCTTCAAACTCACTCGAGCTGCACAAGCATGAGCAATCATATCCACGCACAGACATGACGAGTCAAACTCAGAGACTGCTACTCATATCTGTATATCCCACAGACTGGGTTTGCTTCATGCCACTGTGCGTTTATGTGTGTGTGTGTGTGTGTGTGTGTGTGTGTGTGTGTGTGTGTGTGTGTGTGTGCGCGCATTCCAGTGCGTCTGTATCTGCCCGTGCATGTATGTCTGCACGCATTGGCGCTCCTGTGTTTGTGTGCATGTGTGTGTCGGCTCGCGTGTGTTAGCTTTCTCGGTTCCTTTCTCGTCTCTCTCGTGAGGTGGGTTCAGCTAATCTGTCATCACATGCCGACATGGGATGGGGAGGGGGGGACGTCAAAATAAACACACGCACACACATGCGCCGGTGAATTCCTTTTTAAAAAAAAAAAAAAAAAAAAAGGGAGGGAGGGAAGTAAAGACCGAAGACCTCCAGAGCTCTGCACCCCAGCTTCCGGCCCCCGCACAACCCCCCCACCCTCCTTGTCCCATCGCAGTACCAAGCCTCACTGCCAAACACCACAGAAATGCCACTGAGGCAGAACGCTAACGCCAAACTGGACCACCAACCTGCTGCAACCTCTCCTAACCCAACTGGGACCTGTTGCTTATCTCTTCCTTCATTTCTTCCTTCCTATCATCTCCATCTCATAGCCGCTCCTGCTGCCTCCACGTCTCTCCTCCTTCTGTGGCACATCTCTCGCTTTAAAAAAAATTATAATAATCCACGTTGTTTCCGGTTGTTTCTGACCACTCCTGTGATTCCTGATGCCGCCTGTCTAGCACCGTCAGCTCACATAGAAGCAGCAAGCCTGGCATTAGAGCTTCCTCCTTCAGTTCTGTTGGACTCCCACTCTTAATTGGACTGTTTCTTTTGTTTTTATTTTTTATTAAAGTGGACATTAATGTGTATGTGTTTATATTTTGTTTCCTCTTTTAATTAATGCCTGTTTTTTGTACTCATATGTGGAGACGTCTTAGAGGGAATATTTTACTTGAACTAGTGCTAATAGGCATCCAAACAGAAGGGATCTGATTGAGACACTCGCCTAGATCATGTGTTTTTCTGGCTCTGGGATTTGTCTGAATGTAGAGTCCATTGTCTGTGTGCTCTGTGTTGAGGACACTCTGGTTCAGGAATGCACAACTGAAAGGGTGGGAGAGGGGGGTTGTCTATCTGAGTCCTAATCATTAAATTTAATCAATCCATGGCCTGACTAAATGTCTCTGTCTCTTGATTGTAAGCTGGGAGGAGTTTGTTTTACATTTTATGCTTAAAACGAATCAAAAAGGCTTGATTTGTACATGAGATGCATATAATTTCATATATTAGCAGAATAAACCTCTCCCACGCTCCCTCTTTAAGCTCAGGAGACTCAGTGTAGACAGACCATTAGCCGATTAATGCACCCCCCCTAAGCACGATGGAGTCCAACTGGAGACCCCTTTCCCACCCACCTTCCTGGATCCGACCCAGCCCAAACCGACTACAGCTGTTCCAGTATGGAGAATCCATCGGGGCCACGGTTGAGCAGGAGCCAGAGAGCCGTTTCTGCTTTTCAACTCCTCCCCAGTGGCTCCCCAGACGGCTCGCTCCGCTTTCCACATTACTGTAGCCGAGTTTCTGGAGGAGCCTGCCAAAACTACACCTCCACAACCGCCATAGTTTTAAACTGTCCATTGTTGCGGGTTTATTGTTCCTCCTCTGTGTGTGTCGGGTGAAGTGACAGGTATTCGCTCTGTCCTCTGTGGGTGGTAGAGCTGTCTGTGAATGGGTGTAATTAGTGTTTAAGTAGGAGAGTGTTTGTGTTTCAAAGGGATTAAGAATTTGAGAAAGCTCTGTGTGCAAAACCCATTCACCACACATTTGGGGTTTTTTTGTTAACCAAGTTTACAAGTGTGTGTATGTAAATATCACTCATCCAGAACAAAAACATCTGCTTTTAAAAACGCAAAGCATCTCTTGTTATACGTTAAAGACAGTAGAAGGTGATAAAGTGCTGCAACACAAGCTCTCCACACACTGATTTCCATTTAAAAGTTTATTTTTTTTTAGAATTCATATGAAAAATGTCACTCCTGCATCAAATTGGACCAGTTTTCATACATAATTTTTACTCTCGTTTGTCACACACACAAGCTGCCGACTGCATCTTATCAGACATCGTGCTCGGAGTACAGATGAGGTACACAGACGTAGCGGTTTCAGTACTATGGGACATCTCAGGCTGCACGCTCAGTGGAGCAGCACATTCCTCAAGTTGCATGTTACTGAGTTACCAGTAACCCAGCCGCACAACAGTACACAGGATGGCTGAAAGAAAATGCAACTTAAACTCTCTTTTTTTCCTTCAGATTAACAACCAATAACTGCTATTTCTGCTCCTTTCTTGAGTGGAAAATAATGACTCAAAGCTGCCCTGGAGCTGCCCGTGCCCTCTGCTAACGCACTGAACTGTGGGAGTGTTAAATACACACACACACACCTCTCACAGGAGAGAAGTGAAGGGGGCAGTTGGCAGACTTGTCACTGTATAATTAACTCTGTAATCTTCAGAGAGCTGCCTCTCACTCCTTCTCTGTTACACACTTGTCAGGTACATTAACTGCCAGCCATGCATGAATATATTTTTAAAAACATTTTGGGGATCTGTGAGTGTGTTTCCACTCTGGACAGTTGGGGGTTTTTTTAGTTTTCTTTTTGGGTGGTAGGAAGGGGGTTGTATAGTAGGGTGGAGCGTCACAGTCTATGTCCTGTGTTCACTTCATTAGAGTTTAAATGGTCTACAGGGAGATTGCGACTGCCTTTCACATCACGCCACCTGCATTTCCCATTACACACAGTTCACTCACAGTTACTCATACGTCCACATCCCTCCACACTCCACACTGACCTCACACGCACATACATACAGCACAAACATCTTTTCACATGCTTTCTTTCCTCATGCTTTCAACACAAACAAACTGTATTGTATAAACCACTCACAACCATTCACAAGTGCAGATGTGCACATGGCATTAACACAGCATGTGGTCATAGTTTTTTTTTTTTTGCTTGAATATCAATTTTTTATACAGTTCACTGCTATAAATCATCCAGTCGTCACTCATTCCCGCACATATAAGCCAACAAATCTTTTTCTCGCTCTCACATACACATACATGCAGACACAAACACATGTACAGACTTTATTTGAGCTGCAGTTAGCTGTGCATTATTACCCATCTGGGCTGTATAACCCTCCAATATGCAGTTTTGTCTTTGCATCAAGATAGGACATTGTTTATGGATCCATCTTACCCCGTCATAGGTTGAGCTTAGCTCATTTAAACTTGCCAAGAGATCATATGACACACTAAACAGACACACACCACACACAATAACAGGGCAGGCCCTGCTGCCTCAAGGGCTTTATGAGTCCTTCATGTGAGTCTGACTCCCTGCCTTTCTTTTTCCACCCTGGCAGCGTCCCCCCCAAGAGGTCTCTGGCACAGGCCTCACAGGTTAAACTTCACAACAAAGTGGCAGAGTGGTCTGCAGGTTGGCCCCTCATCACACAGTCACTGGAGGGTATTTCTGGTCACTGGTGACACTGGACCCACCAGTGGGAGGAGGGCAGGGGGACTGGAGTTGTCTGTATCCTCCCTGAGTGGGGTCCAGGTAGGCTTGGGCAGGGGATACAGGGTGGGCGTAGCCGATGTACTGTGGGTGCAGAAACTGTCCCTGGTGTGGCATGATTTGCGTGGCCTGCTGGCAGTTGAGCACGGAGAAGTTAGTGGGCATGTTGACAAAGACGCTGGCATCAGGGGGCAGGCAGCAGGACGCCTGAGCCCGCATGAGGGGAGGGGGGACGGGGCGGGGTGCTGCAGGTGGGGCGGAGGAGCTGGACGAGGTGGCCGTGCTGGACTGGCGGGACGATGAACCTCTGGAGGTCCCAGCACTGGCCATCATAGGGATGGTTTCCAAGAGGCGACCACCGCCAGACCCACCTCCTGACGCACCTCCTGATGACAGTTCCTGTTTGGGCCGGAGACAGCGGCAGCAGCACACAGCGACCACTGAGCCCACCAGGATGAAAGCTACAAACACTGAGCCCACAATCAGGAACGGCACATAGATGGGCACTACAGAGAAAAAAGGAAAAAAAGACACATTCACATTAAAAAAACAGCAATCTGATTCGCCTCTGTGGCAAAATATTAACTTCTAAGTTAAATATTAAACTTCAAACAGCACACACTCAGACGTCTTGCTTCTGTGCACAGGCAAAGTGGAGTGGAGAGTGGGTGAGACAGTGAAACAAAAGACTGAGCAAGGAGGAGTGTTTGGACTTGAGTACACCGGGATTGGGTCCCCAGGGAGTCCCAGGCTCTCATTAGCAGTTATTAACTTTGTTTTGATCTGTTTTAATCCTCAGCACCCTGCTGTGTCCCCAGCCTCCTCGACCCTGCAGACCTGTGTGTGTATGTGTGTGTGGGTGACATTCTTAAGACCGGCTGCCAGCAGATATTTGTGACCCTTCTTTTTTTCTTCATCTATTTATGACCAACCCTCTGAAAATAAGTTACTCAGGTTGAACTACAGTACTTGGCTTCTGCGTAAAGAAGGGTATTAGAGTTGACTGATTTAATGTAGCTGAATGGGAGGTTATTCAGCCTTTTAAATCAAAGGAGTAAGCCAATTCCTTCTCACTGACCTTTTCTTTCTCTTTGTTTAAAACAGCAAATCAGACTTTAAAGAAAGGACTTGTGTAACTCTCACAACCCCACCAATCAGTGTCGTTTGCTGGGTCGAATAGCAGTGGTATTATTTCACAGGTGAAAAATCTTGACATTTTTATAGGTGAAGATCTCCGTTCCAGTGAGAAGCTCCAACAACAACTTTGAAACATGATCAACAATAACTTTCCTTTAAAAAAAATAACAGTTTTTGTTCTAACTACACCTTTACGGCCAAATGATGAAGGCGAAGGGTGAATGTTTTTTGGCAGAAACAGTGCGACAGGCGAGATGAGGTAACCTCTGAGGTGCTCGTTCATTCCCATGCTCACACACACAAACACCTTACAAACACAATAACGACCATGTTACATTATAAGTGATTAGTTGTGTTTTATTGTTCCCACAGGGTGTAGTTATTTTCCGCTTTGAATGTGCCCATGTGTTATGAAGTGTAACTGTATGCCAAAGAGAGAGAGGTGGCAACTGGCTCCAGTTTCCTTTTGTCTCTTTGAAATACATCCATACGGCCTTGAGAAACTTTTCAAAATGCTCATCAAAAGTAGCAGGGTATTAAAAAGGATTACTGCGCGAAAACCGCTAAGAGCTGGAAGACATTCATTGGCTGAGGCGGTAAGTCCAGGTGACAAAAGACACAGGCCAGTGGCAGAGAAGGCCGAAACATGGTGACATGAAACAAACTAGGACCTTGACCCATTTCCCTTTGACAAGAGGCGGTGTCAACTTCAGAGGCTAATGTACCTCACAGCCACACACCTTCCTGTAAACAGGTTTTAACAGGAACTCTGTTATGGCAACACATATATAAGTTACAAGTGCAGAAATGTCCCAGGGAGCCTTTGATTGCCCCCTTTTCCTGCACTTATATGGCCTCCACCTCAACATCTCTGCTCCCACTCCCTTTTTTCTGCATGGATGATGGGGATTAGTAATCGCAGAAACTTTCGTCTTATGTTACTTCATCCCTACTTTCACTGCAGAGTTTCTTTCCAAAACACTGTACTATAAATCAGTGGTGAAAGGGGGAAAAAGTACCACTTAAAGTACAGCAAACACAGGAGTGGAAGAAGTACTTAGAGCCTTTATTTACGTACAAATACCATTACAGCTATCTAAAATACTTTATTACAAGTAAAATCACATTAGTATTATCAGTAAAATATATTCAAAGTATTAAAAGTAAAAGAATCCCCTGTGACTTATATATAATTATGTATCACATCATTAGATTACTAATGCCTCAGTGGGGAGCGTTTTACTGTTGCTCCCAGTGGAGCTATTTTATATACTGTTTGTAAATCAGTCCAGTAGTTTTCAACCTAGGGGTCGGGGCCCCTCCTGAGGGTCACAAGATAAATCTGGGAGGTCGTGAACAGGGAAGGACAAAAGAAACAAGACGGTCTACAGCCATGTTAGCAGCTCTGTGGGGCTGCACTCAGGTAAAATGTGGCTTTGAGCCAAATGCTAATGTCACGCTAACTTGCTGATGTTACCACATTCACCATTTTAGATTAGTGTGGTAGCATGCTAACATTTGCCTACAACTGAGGCTGAATGTCAGTAGTTCTGTGAGTATTTATTTATAAACCAAAGTGTTGGATAAAACTTTGACTTTACGTTGACACTAAATGAAAAGGTTACAGTAAAGTTATAACAACTTAAACCTGCTGGTGGTGTGAGAGGATGAGTGAAAGGATCACCAAAGTTTATATGATGCATTCTTTTGAGACAATAAATGAATGAACCAAATGAATATGCAACCAGCAGTTGTTGAGATATTTCAGTCTGGACCAAAGTGGGTGGACCAACACTGCTATTCATACAGCTAAACCTCTAGCATGGCTGAAAACATTTGACCTCTTTGGGCCACCAATGGTTATTTAAATGTGATCGTCTCTCTTTGAGGAGCTGCTAACAACTCATAGAACCTGTTTACACCTGGTATAAACCCAGGATGCATGTTAATACCAGGGTGTAAACAGGCTCATAGACATCTGAAACATGACAAAGGGTTCAGAGTAGACGCCGCTTCTCTAAAAGGTTGGGAACCACTGGTTTAACATCTAACAATGCATTCCACTTTATAAGCTTATAATATGTTAAAATCTTAAGGTGTAAATAAAAACTACGGCTGTCAAATAAATGCAGTGGAGTAAAAAAGTGCATTTCTCTCTCAATCTCAATGAAGAAAAAGATGAAAAGTAAGCCACAAGTACCTAAAACTTGTACTTAAGTAGAGCACATGTATCCAACACAAGCTTGCCAATTGTCTTGAAAACTGTTTGTCAAATTCATAACTTTCCTACTATATTTCAAACATAGGATTTTTTTTCTTGACCTCTTGGTAATTGTGATTTTCTGCTGGTTGAAACCCTCCTATTGTTCCCTGTCACTCTTCCACACCTGTTGCAGCAGTTGAGCTGTGGCAGCCATGCCGCAGTTACAGCAGCCCCCTCTCTTAAGCTCTTGTTTTGGGCACAGTCTTTGTGGCTGTGCTGGCTGGAGACTCTCCGGCTATCCCACGGGCATTCTCCTGTTCCTAAATACCATATGTTCCTTCATGTTGAGCACATTAATAATTTCCTGCCTGTTATCCATTGACATCATGGGGTGTATCTTTCCCTGGATGATTAATAGGCTGCAAGCATATGAAAAATGAACAAAATGCACAAAGTGAATGAAAGAAACGCACAAAAAAAGGCTGCTTTTCTTTAAGTTATTTTGGCTGGAGGCCACGGAATGAAATGTATATACCTCTTCCTGCTGTGATAAGGCATGATAGTCTTAGCAAATGACAGATTATAGCTGGAGGTCCAAAACGAGGGCATAATATCCTCCAGGGACACATGAAGTAAGCCTGTGTTGCCTTTTTCTCTGATGTCCAGTGTTTGCTTATTTTCAGGAGTGCTGTTATCTACTTGTTGATCTTTTATCCAAGATATGATGCAGCTTCAAGGGGCTTTGTGGTAGATTAATTTATGGGAATGTAAAGCAATGATGAATGGGGAGCCAGGGTTGAGAGAAAAGGCTTGTTTTGTTACCTAATCCACTACATGAATTGGAAAATATGGGTCATATTTTGCCTTAAGTTTTGGTTTAAATGCAGTTTCTATACAAGCAGATCAGAGTGTGAATCCCTTGAAAGCCCACAGACACCAGAGCGGCTGCAGTGGGGGATTACAGGAGTTCCATGATGAGAAAAGGGACTCCTCCGAGCCTGGTAGGAAATGACACATAACGCGATTTGTGTGTGTTTTTTTTATGGGCAGAGCTGTCAGCGCCTCTGGTGAGCCACTGTCCAAGATCCGGTCAAGTCCAAACTTGATCCCCGTGGGGACAACGTGATCTGAGCCCGGCCCCCTCTTGCACTGTTACAGGCCAGAACAAACACAGCTATTTATAAGTGCAGCACGGCACAGTTTGCCATTTGTGAGTGCAGTTAACTGGGGGTTTTTTTTTTTTTTTGGAGGAGTCTGCCGCTGTCTCCTGTGCAGCTGTCGTTGCCAACCGGGCCAGGCAGCAGATGAACCTCTTGGGGGGGGGGAGACTGTGCGACTGCTGGGTTTATGAGAGGAAACCGAACCTTGTAATAGGTCTGAAATTTACAATCACATTTAAGACACCCTGTGCGTCCACCTCGGGCATGGCGTTAACACACTTATAGGCTTTAATTAATTTGGAATAAACGTTAAAAAAAACCCAAAGGTCTGGCTGAGACTTAACTACATGGACCAGTGCTCTGAAGCAACAGGTCAGCTAGTTTTTGGTACGTTGTATTGGACGTATTTCACAGCATAATTCACAGTGAAGACTTCAGTATGTAAGGGAGGCTTTTATTGTGACAGTCTCCATACTCCAAAACGACCTCCCAGTAACATCCAGGTCATCAGAATCACTAAATCTATTTTTTTCCCATAATTTTTTCAAATTTCTCATTTATTTTGCCCTATTTTGCAGTTTATTTAACACTATATTAATGACTGATTTGAACATCAACGTGCGTAATATTTGTGGTAAAAGCTGCTGAAACAGTAGAACTTTTGGGTTTGTACCTGCACCGGAGTCCTTGTTCTCCTTGCTCCCTGTCCCGGGCTCCTGAGCCTGCCGGTCGTTATCGCAGCTGCCCTGATCCAGCCGTGCGTCCGTGCTGGAGCAGCAGTAGCGCAGCTCGCATTTCCCGCAGCAGATGATCGCGTCCTCCCCGTCGATCTTCTCCGGACACTGGAACCCTTCCTTCCACACGCCCTGGGAGTCGTGCCAGCCGTGGCAATACTCCCCGCTGGCTTTCACGTCGATAATGACCAGGAGTAGAGTCACAATCACGGTGACATACATCGGGAAACCTCCTCCCCACATCCTCGGCCAGGAGGCCCGCGGCCGCACGCCGGCGCACTGGAAGAGACAGAGAGGCTTTCACTGCCCGCGTCTACCTAACCTGGTGAGGGGTCGATGGATCGGTGCGATGCAGGGAGCTGAGGGGATGAAGTGAGGGAGCAACAAACCACTTAGAAGCTGTCATTTGTTTGGGGAATCCCGTGCGTAATTCCGACCCAACGTCTCCAAAAGTGACTCCGCGCTGTAGGTGATTATCCAAAAGTAGCACCAAACAAAACACAACTCGACTGAAAGCAAAAAAAAATTATAAAAAAAGGAAAATTTCCCTCAAAACTGAGTTCAGATGTAAACAGAGCTCGTGCTAAATCCAGTATGGAGAGACTAAATGATCTCCTGTGGCACCGCGGCAAGGCTGTTCATGTCTCCTGACTCTTCAAATCACTTTCCACAGGGATGCAGAGAAGAAACTTGTAGCCTGATCCATGCTGCTGTCACCCCTGAGACCCCTCACCGCCTGCCCCGTGCACAAAGACAACTTTCCAAACTTTTGTGGCTCGGTCTGCATTGTTGGGCGTCAGGAGTCAGTCAACCTGGTCAGTGTAGCCCGATTGAACTAAAGCGCGCAGAGTCTATCCCACTTTGCGTCAGAGTGAGAGGGGCGTGTAAAAAGTGAGATGCAAACACACATCCCCCCTTAATAGAGTAATAAACCCCAGGAGCTGCCGGTGACAAGAGCCAAAGACTAAAGTACAACTTCCGGTTGAAACCTGTAAAATAAAACCACAATGCAGAATAAAATGTGCATGTTGAAACTTTATGGAGTTTTCTTTTTTGGAATGCACCAAAGTGAGTTCAGGAAATACAATTTAAAATATATATTTATTATATAGAAAATGCAAAAAAATACCATATTTTTTTAGTATCTCCCAGACAAGATCTCAAGCGTTTCGCCTACAGATTGAGATATATTCAGTTCCATCTTTTCTCCTTTCAGATCTGCTAAACTAAACTTTTAAGTCAACCACAAATAAAATAATCACCGTGCTTTAATTGTGAAAGCAAGCAATTTTATTTTAAATGATTGTTTTCCGGTCAAATATTGTTGCTTTTTTCACGCAGCTTCTCCCATCACTATATCTGAGGTTTGCTTTATGTGCAAACTTCAGTTTAACTTTTCCCGACTGAGCTTTGAGCTGAAGGACTGTTAGTTGTCTCCTGGGTGAAAAGCAGCTGAGAGTTTGGGCAGTTTTTGGGGAGCGCCTGCAGACATCCCCCCCAGCACACAGCAACGGTGACTTACATGGTGACAATGCCATCTAGTGGAGTTACCAGATGCTTGCTCCTGTGCGAACATCTGGCAAAACTAGATGAACTAGATAAGAACACATAACAAGTTTAAGGAAAATATTGTCATATTTGTGATTCCAAAATAATCATAAATGCAGAACTTCCAGATGTAAAGTAACAATGATTACAATTACTGATTAGAGAGAATATGGAGATGAGTGTTTGAAATATAGTAGTTAGAAGAAGTCATGTTTTTGGCATGGCATTCAAAATTTAACTTAGACAACATTATTACCCAGTGGTTTAATCTATAAGTCCTATAGGTTCTTGCTTTAGGTTAAACTATAATTAATACAGTATACAGTCAAGCCCAAAATTATTCATACCCCTGGCAAATTTTGACTTAAAGTTACTTTTATTCAACCAGCAAGTTTTTTCTTGATTGGAAATGACACAGGCAGAAGATAAGACGATGTACAAGAGGCATCATTGTGGAAAAAAAATATTTCTCAGCTTTTATTTACATTTGGCATGTCCAAAATTATTCATACCCTTCTCAATAATCAATAGAAAAGCCTTTATGGGCTATTACAGCAATCAAACACTTCCTATAATTGCTGACCAGCTTTTTGCATGTCTCCACTGGTATTTTTGCCCATTCATCTTTAGCGATGAGCTCCAACTCTTTCAGGTTGGAGGGTCTTCTTGCCATCATCCTGATCTTTAGCTCCCTTCACAGATTCTCAACTGGATTCAAGTCAGGACTCTGTTATGTTAATGTTTTTGTCCGCTAACCATTTCTTCACCACTTTTGCTGTGTTTTGGGTCGTTGTCATGCTGAAATGTCCACTGGTGCCCAAGGCCAAGTTTCTCTGCAGACTGCCTGATGTTGTTGTTGAGAATCTTTTTTTCATGGTGCCGTTTACTGTGATTAGGTTCCCTGGTTCATTGGCTGAAAAACATCCCCAAAGCATTAGGTTCCCACCACCATGTTTGACAGTGGGGATGGTGTTTTTGGGGTTGAAGGCTTCTCCTTTTTTACGCCAAATGAAGGATACATTATTGTGGCCAAACAATTCAATTTTTGTTTCATCTGACCATAAAACAGAAGACCAGAAGTCTTCTTCTTTGTCCAGATGAGCCTTTGCAAAGGCCAAGCGGGCTTTTATGTGCCTTATCTGGAGATGTGGCGTCCTCCTCGGTCTGTGTCCGTGGAACCCAGCAGTGTGCAGTGTCCGTTGGACTGTCTGCCTTGAGACGTTGCCACCAGCAGAGCTCAGATTCACCAGGATGGCCTCGGTGGTGATCCTTGGATTCTTTTTCACCTCTCTCACTATCCTCCTGGCCAGCACCGGTGTCACTTATGGCTTCCGACCACATCCTTCCCACAGTGCGGAACGTCTTGTATTTTTTAATAATACTTTGCACTGTAGCCACTGGAACTTGAAAACATTTAGATATGGCCTTATAGCCCTTTCCTGACTTGTGAGCAGCCACAATGCGCAGCCGCAGGTCCTCAGTGAGCTCCTTTGTCTTAGCCATGACTGTCCACAAACCAACTGCAGAGAGCTGCTGTTTCTCACCTGTTGATTAAAACAGCTGTTCCCAATGAATCAGGGTAGGTAGGATGCTTTAGAACAGCTTGGACTATTTGGAGGTATAGAACTTTGGATTTTCCCCAAAACTGTGACAGTTTGCAAAAGGTATGAATAATTTTGGACATGCCACTTTTGGTTCAAATGTAAACGTAAGCTGAGAAATATTTTTTCCCACAATGATGCCTCTTGTACATTGTCCTATTATCTTTTGGGAGAAAGAGAAAAAAAAACTTGCTGGTTGAATAAAAGTAACTTTAAGTCAAAATTTGCCAGGGGTATGAATCATTTCGGCCTTGACTGTATGTGCATGAGTACTTAAAATTGCCCTCACTTACAACTGTAAAAAGCTGAGCACATGGTAATGCATCTTTGATAATAATTAAACAATAAAATAAGTAATAATAAAACAGGGGCCATTACTTTTGATACCTTAAGTATGTACTATACTTTGAATGCAGGACTTTTACATATAATGCACTCATTTTACACTGTGGTAATGCTACTTTAAGGTAAAGGATCTGAATAATCATGAATACCATTGGTCAAGAATTACTCCATTCAGTCTGCTCTGCAAACTCAACCAACTACAATATTAAAATGGCGCTTGCTGTGCATTAGTAATAATAAATAAGTGATTTAATTTAACTGTATAATTAACACTTGTATCTTAAGTATATTACAATAACTATACTTTATTATAATCATACATTATATCATAATTAAGTTTCTAAAAGTATTCCTCTTCCACCACTGAGTCTCCTTCCTCGCCAGTACTTCATTTCCCATCATGCACCGCCGTGAAGCCGTGTCCGTGGCAACAGCACAGGAAGTGGCGCGCAACTGTTGAAAAACTGTCACACAACAAACAGAGGAAGAGTTTTTGAATCTATCCAACCTCGACAACCGGTCAGCTGTGGTGGCAAACTTATAAAACACAACCTGAAGCGACCTTATTATATAATTTAGCAAACTTCATCAAAACGTAAGTGCTATTTCTAAATTAGACTAGCAACAACCAGCTAACGTTACCGGTAACGTAAACAACTGCTAACTAGTTAGAGCTTAGTTAAGTTAGTTACATATTCTGGTGCATGAAGCTAAGTGTATACAAGCATGTTAAAACAAAACAAATGTGTGTTTCTACCGTGGAGCTACAGGGCTAATCTTTTCTCGTACTGCCTGTGAACAGATGTCCTTTGTGAGAGTGGGGCGTCCGCAGCAACACACCAAAGGAGGAAAAAGGCCTGTTCGCCCCAAAAAGGCAGCAGCTCCCAAAAGAGAGTGGGTGGTGAGTACTGACACCTGGTCCTGGTTTAAAGACTACTCAGTGGTTACAGTGGCTTTTGGCATGCACTTGTACTTTAGGTGTTAGGATTTATAGGTTACAGGGCTGCACAATATGGTAAAAACATCACATTGGGATTATTTTGACATGATGTTAAATGTTTGGGTGTTTGGTATCAAATAAACATGTTTCCTTAAATCTGGAGAACAAGATTTGTAGACCAGAGCGCCTCTGCAGTGCCACAGTACTTCGTTATGATGCTGTTTTGTCACACATTTTACCTTCTACCTATTGCGATTTCAATAATATTTCGATTAAATGTGCAGGCCTAATGTAAATCTCTACATGTTTAAACCATTTAAGTAATGACAGCCCTCTTGTTTGTTTCAGAGCACTGTCAGCGACTTGTCTGTGCACAAGCCGACACCTGCAGAGCTGGTAAGGTTGTTCATTGGTCTAAACATGCTGATTCTTTCTATAATAGTCATTATGATTGCTCTTCAACGTTATTTTAGTGAGCTGATAGTACTGAAACAATCAGAACGGTTATTTTCAACTCATATTTGCTTGTCTGATTGTTCGTATCTCCTTCAGAGCCATCGGCACGAGATCCACAAGTCCCACAACAAGGCTGCGGCGCAGTGGGAGCTGAGAGAGAACGCCCTAAAACGGCGTTTCAGACACCCCGGGAGCCCCGCACCTCTAGACCAGGCCAGCCTCAGCATCATTAGGGAGGTGTGTGTGACACAACGGTTTTTTTGTTACTTTTTAGTGTCTTCTTTGCTTTCTTGATGCTTTATGGTTTTGTTTGTTGAACAGAAGTATTTCAATAAATGTAAATCATATTGAACCCCCCCCGGTGCTGAGTGTATCACAGGGCTTTTGCTGCTGGTGATGATGATGATAATGATGGTGTGTTTAACCGCTACAGGTGTTCTCTGACCAGCTGCTGCTGCAGGATGTGCTGGCACGCTCCGACAGAGCCATGGCCGTCGTCAAAGACTTGTTTGGAGATGCTCCACGCAGGCAGACTGGTAGAAAACGTCTCATTCACTCTGCCATAGCTATAAATGCAGTGCCAAGTAGATACAACATGAAAGTGTTAGCTTGTTTCATGCTTGTAGACATAAGCAAACACGACACATTCTTCAACCTTTTGAAAAAGATATTTGGTTTCCCCTGAGGATTATATGTTAATTACTGTTTCTCTGTTTGTGTATTTCCACAGGGCACCCTAGTGTGACAATGGCTCCAAACTGTGACTCTGAGTCAGCACCGCCTGTGCTCCAGAGACCAGATCCTCCCACTCAGCTGTCACTGCTCAGCCAGTCAATGATGGACCAACAGGTGTGTGTGTGTGTGTGTGTGCGTGTTTGTGACTTTGTGTCAAAATAATGTCATCCATTTGTTACTTTATGTTTTTACCATTTTTTTATCTACTCGTGTCTCATTTGTTCTTACTAATAATCTACTATAAGTTTGTGTATTTTTACGTCCTGTTTTTAAA